ACCAACAGCAAAAACACCTCGAAAGCTCAAGCTTAAAGATTATACCCTGTAAATGAGCAATTCATTTTGAAAAATGAAGCTGAAGAAAGCAAAAGCAGACAGGTTTTGTGGATTAACCAGTTTTGTTTTTGTTTTTATTTATACAAAGAACACAGCCATTCTACTTCAGAGGGATGAAACGAGAAGAATGTGTAGCTCCGATACCAGGGCGACCGTGCTTGACAGGTTTGTAGGTGATGGAGAACTCGCCCAAGTAGTGACCGCACATCTCAGGCTGTGAAGAGGAGAAACATGTTAGTAACAAGATAAATGCCTTGGTTGATACCCCATTACAATGCATGCAAAGTAATGTAGTAGCTGCTAATCATAATCTGAGGTCTAACAAGGATGTAAACTGTAGACTTTAGGAAACCCTTAATGGTGAATATCCAGAGCTAGAAGCTTTAATTAGTGCTTTTGACAGGGAGAGCTAGGAGTCACTGTACTCTGGTAGTGTACTACCTTGCCATTACATCTACTGGTCCTGTCGGCAATATTTAATTCAGCACTATTATTCTGTAGCATCCTGCCTTCTTAATAACAACTCTTATGTTGCCACAGGTACACTTTAAAACACATCCTACACATTTTCCCCCCTACTTCAACTCTTTGGTTGAGATTTCAGGCCGTCTTGTACATGGTAGAGTTTCACATATTCTTGGTGTGGATATTTTAGTAGGTATAATTTGAAAAACAATTAGTACACTCAGGCCTACCAGAAGCATAGCAGCACACAGAGGGATTAAGTTGGAATTTGCCTAAAATCATTTTCAGAGCTAATTAAACTTGATGAATTTCACAATTCTTTCACATTTTGTAATTGCACATCAATGTCGGTTCTCTTTACAACCTTGTTATATGCAGCAACTCATCAACTATGACTATGTACAATGGAACTATCACAACATGTTACATGGCCTATTAAATGGTCTCGATTCACCATACTGGCCGACTGACAATGCTGATATTTAGAGAGCCGGGCAGCAGATACCAAAACAAAGAAATGTATAATTTCATTATTCCATGCAGAGTACATCTAATATACATGTTATCTTTGCATCATTCAACTGCATTATTCGGTACAGTAAACCAATATATATTTAAAGCTAGCCAGTATGGTGTTAGATTAGATCTGCTGTCATCTAGGATGGGAAAAACTTATTCACCACCTTTCCAAAACTCACAAGATAGCGCACTAACATTTACGTACGTTATAGGACGTTTATCATCCTGTAGAGTGCAGGCATCAGCCTAGATCATACTGCCACCCAGTCCAGTCAGGATAAAAAGGTTATCATAGTTTCAACTTGGTTCCTACTGGCTTGACATTAATTATTGGGAGAAAATGGGTTTTTTGACAGTGCAGACCAAGACTGACAAGGAATTATGACAAACTGCTTCAAAATAAGACCAACTGCAGGGACTGGTGCCCTGACTGACTTCTAGTGCCTGCTCTGTAAAGGGCAAAATAAATAAATCCCAACTTTGGTGTTTCCAAATTTTGTTGAAAGGTACATTCCTTCACAGGAATATAAATCAGAAAGTAGGAAGTAATAAAGTAATAGATAGGTGGTCAATTAATTTGGGATTTCAAAATGTATTCATATGCTCTCCATCCCAACCTGAACTGTGACCCCTCACCTTGATTTCAACCTGGTTGAAAGTCTTTCCGTTATACACTCCAACCATGGACCCGACCATCTCAGGCAGGATGACCATGTCCCTCAGATGGGTCTTCACCACCTCTGGTTTTTCCATGGGGGGAGCCTCTTTCTTTGCCTTACGCAGGCGCTTAAGGAGGGACTGCTGCTTGCGGCGCAGGCCACGGTTCAGCCTCCTCCTCTGGCGGGCGCAGTACAGCTGCATCAGTTGTTCACTACACAGGGAAAGAGGACAGCGATGTCAATGAAACCCCAGGCCATCTTTGAAATAAAAGCGAAGTTGTTTGTAAAATGCAGAACAGTAAAGCAGCAGTTGTTTTTCAATTTGGTCATCTCAAGTTCACTTCACACTGGAGTCTGTGCAACTGACAAAATTAGGGCACTGGAGTTTTAACTTTGACCTCTGAGTCACAACAAAACATGCGTTGAGCTGAGTCTGGAGCGATTTTGTTGGATGTAAATCTAAGATTTACACTGTGTTTGGTGAACAAGACGTCAGTTTGCAATCCAATGAAACTAAGAAAAGGTAGTAGAGAAGCTCCAACTGACCACCGTGCTGTATCAGCTGCTCAGACTCAGTGGGCTCACTTACTAGGACATGTCCAGAAGCTGATCCAGGTCCACACCTCTGTAGGTGAACTTCCTGAAGGTACGCTTCTTCTTGATCTCGGTATCCGCCTGAAAGAGAGGGGCATCATCCCAGGTTAGCATGTAGCTTGTACAATTAGCAAGAACATAACCGCGCAGATGCTTTAACTAAAACGTAACTCAATGTCACTGGTAAACATCTATTAAACAGCTTATTAACTCTCGCTGGGCCCAACAATAAACTCCAACGGCCAGGTCATCTTTATTTTCTGGAACAGACAATGTTGAACCACCGGGTTAGCTTAGGCACAGGCGGCCATAGCTCAAGCTAATGCAGACCCTATAAACATAAATTTATCGGTCATTTTAAGCAACGATTTTCAACTGAATGGTCAGCGAACGTGTGCGATTTTCGTATAATATAGCCAACCATCCTAATTAGTTACCATAGAGGTCAGATGCATATAGATTGTACTTTGGCAAGCTTCACGATCAGTGAGACACCTACCATCTTGCCTGGGGTTCCGGGGGAAAAGAACGGCTTGAACTCTCGTTAGGCCTGATATCGCGCGATTTAAGACAAACATCCGGTAGGGTCTTCCGGTTTCAGTCCCCAGCGTGAACAGCAGGTGGCGCTGTCGTACAATAACTCCAGTTTCTGCACAGTGTGAAGTTTCCTATCAACGTGTCCCATTTGCTGCGATGGACTGGCGACCTGTCCAGGGTGTACCACGCCTTTCGCCCGATGTAAACTGGGATTGGCTCCAGCCCCCCGCGACCTTGTACGCAGGATAAGCGGTTGTCGATGGAGGGATGGATGGTGTCCCATTTGTTTTGTCGTTTCGATGAATTCTACATACCAGGAGGAAGAAAACACACAGTTACACTTTCACCAACAGTACTTTTACATTGTTGTATTGGTACTTGCATTTACTTAAGCCAAGGGTACTGTATAGCCTACGTCTTCCACCCTGTAACTAAATATACATTTACTAAAAAGTACTGGGACCTCATCTGAGTATTTGCATTTTGAGATACACCACCACATTTCAGATAAGCATTGTTCTTTTAAAACATGTATGATTTGATGAAGGACCTCTGTTTTATAAAGAAAAAAATATCATTTTTGGATACCCATGTAGTTTTTGGAACATGTGGTTAACAGTTTGACTTTTGTTATAGAGTATTATTAAGTCTTTTTTTTAGCCTTTGCTTTAAAGGACCGATACCTGATGACTTCACCTTGAGCTAGATGAACCAGAATGAAACTGAACATATTTTCTATCAGTTGGGCCCTTCAGGAACTTAAAAGGGTTGTTTCACCCAATTACATAAACACATGCAGTATATTTTCACTTCTTCTATTTGTATCTATCCAGTCAGATAGTTTTGGTTTTATTTACCCAGGCTTGGAGATATCCTACTTGGCTCCACCCTAAAAGTGAAATATTTATTGTAATTCCTCCAGCACTGAGATTATATAGTACATGTTTGTCTGTTAAGTCTAAATATGATTTAAATTGGGTTTTTGTTTTGTTTTTAAGAGTACACATTTTAAATATGTGCACTCAACATTACACATCTGGTCTTTACTAATGTCAGTTAGTTATTAATAGTTTTATGCAAACCACTAATGGACATTTAATTCATTGTTTCTTAGACATTGTTAAAACCAAAATTACATGTAGGCCTAAATATTTTTTTAACAACCCTTTACAAACACACCATGTCTGTTTCATAAAGAAGACTTGCAGTATTATACAGAAGTGCACAGTAATGTAGTTAGAGTTCAATTTGCAGACTGCACTAAGAGCTAGTGTTTCACAATCCTTCCTGTTTTGGTTAACAATCCTCATCTCTGGTAAATTTTTTGTTAATAAATGTATGTCCATGTACCTACTAACTGAAGTTTGTACATTACCTTCATAAGTCGCCACCAACAAAATGCTACTCTACTGCAGATTAAGTAAATGAACCACAGGCCTGTCCTTTGTGCCAAACATTCTTCTTTTTAACAAAAAGAATCAACACATGGTAATGAATACACATCTTTATTACACAGTATTCACAAAGGCATACTTCTCACGTCAAAACATCTTTTTCCAGGGTCCTAAAGATTATTCCAGAGGAAAAGGCATAGTCTAATACAAAATGATATTCAGAGTCAAGGTACAAAATAACCCTCCCCATTCAAAAAAAAAAAAATCACAAATATGCATAAATAATCAAATATAAATTGTATGATTGGTTTGCAGATCAACCAATATTAATATGATTCACTTAAACATTACTCACTGACCAAAGAATCCAGTATTCTTGCTTGGAATGTTCAAAACTTCACTTGAGTATTATTATATCCTCCCCCCCACTGTCTTTAAGCCAAAGAAAACAAGCTTAACTCCAGTTGGACTGGTTATGCAAACAAGGAAATATTTCCTCCATTAAAGAGGGAAAAAAAAAAAAAAAAAAAAAAAAAACAGAAATAACTGAAATGAATGACAGAAATTTATTATTTATATATATATATATATATATATATATATATATATATATATATATATATATATATATATATATATATATATATATATATATATATATATATATATATATATATATATATATAAAAAAGAAGAAAAAAAAAAGTTGTGACTACTTTGTCGGTTATAAAAATCCATTTTTCTTTCAGTTTCTTCATCTTCCTGAATAACCAAAACTGTACTACTGTATATGTCAATGACCAATACTGAATGAAGATACTCAAGTACTAACAAACAAAACAGTCTCATTCACAGAAATTGTCGTTTACACAGATAACACAAGCATGGGTGTTTTGTTCAAAACATGCACTTTCTTAGAAACCTTTATTTAAAGAAATTCCCTAATATTTTGTGTTGCCTTTACAAAAACCTAGGGATCTCCCTTAACATAACTAATGAGTCAGCCAAAAAACCAAACATAAATGTTGGGGCTTTGGCACATATAAAAAAAAAAAAAAAAAGTCCCTGGCATAGAAAACTAGCTAAGCCAAAAAGACTGGCTTTTGTAGTCACTTTAAATATAAAAATCACAGAAATGCAGTTCATGATATGTGTAACATTGGATTTGCACAAACAGGGGTAAGAAAACAATTTCATAACACTAAAAAGGATATTACCCCCCCCCCCCCAAAAAAAAAAGAAAAAAAAAAAAAAGTGCAACATCCTGTGGATAAAAAAAAAAACAAACACAAAGACAGACTGCCTGCCTTGAGGTTTTCTTGCAGAAGATCCCTCCTTTATACAACCTCTCTTTCCCTTCCTACACTCCCTCCTTCCTCCTAATAATCTGTCCCATCGTCTTGGTACACCTGTTCTTCCTCCTGGTATCCTTGGTAACCCTCGTCTTGGTAATCCGGGATGAAGTCACGGGAGACACCTGCCCCGTTTTGATCATCTGGAACCTCTCCAGCTTTAGGACAGTACTTGGCGTCATAGATCTGCCGTCCCAGGCCAAAGTTCTGGCCGCTCTGGTTGGCTCCCTGGCTGAAGCCCATCTGTAGAGACATGGTGCTGTTGTCACACTTGTCTGTGCCCAGCTTCTGGTCGTAAATGGCACGCCTTGTCCCTGGAGCAGTCATCCCAGCCTGCAGTAGAGATAGAAGAAAGAAACAAAACAAAAAGTAAAGTAGGAATCACATTTCATTTACCCCCCCCCCCCCGCTAATCGTTCATAGTCGGACACGCGCCACCGGAGCACCGATAGAAATGCCGGTGATCCAGTCATTCTGTGACAGACACAGAGTGACTAATATATTTGCAGATTCTAGCCGCCTCCTCCGTAGAGGAACATACTCCCCTTGTTCTGTTTTACTTGTTATAAATATTGTTTAACTTTGTTCAAGTTGAGAAATACACATTTCAAAATGTCAGTATTTCACGCATCCCTTGATAATTAAGCAAGTACGCTCATAGTACCATTTGTTCCATTATAATCGAATGGCAATATTGTCCACAATAATCGCAATGAGACTTTTTCCTCCAAATCGTGCAGCCCTAGTTTACAGCAGTGGAAGGAGTAGGAATTAGTGATGTCTTGGGGCTTATTTCCACCAGAAATGTTAGAGAGTCTAAGGTCTCCATTTTATTTGGATCCCTAGCACTTTAAAACACAAAATGTTGCAGGTGGGTTGAACATTTCACCCAGTAGTAAGGTACATATGACACACTCTGATCTTAAGGTGATGCTGTAAAAATCAAGTTTGCGTTTCCACAATTATCTCAAAGTCCAAATTTCTTCATCACTTTAATCTTTCAAGTTTTCTGCATCTGTTCTTCTCCTCTGAAAATGTCAAATGTTGCACTTGGATCCCAATCATTGCCGCTTGCGGCTATATTTTGTTGTTATTTTAATCTTGAAGCCGGGGGGTACTTATGTTCTATGAGGCAAGGAAAGAAATACCCTCCTAGAGATAAAAGATGGTCACTGTACTTCTACTCTATCCTAACCCATCATTTTTATCATTTCTATAATTATGATTTATGAGAAGTTAAGAATACATTGCAGTACCTGGCTCGCTCCCTTGTTGGTTCCCATTTGTAGACTGATGGTTGTGTTGTCCATGGGGGGCTGGATTTGAACTTTGGGGTCATATAAGTGCCTCCTGGTGCCATATGCATTCATGCCTGCCTGACTGGCGCACTTGTTGGTCCCCATCTAAAGACAGAAAAAAATAAAATCCCACACACAATCAATTGTTTAAACCCACTTGCTGCACATATGACAAACTGTTGTAACATGTTGCAAAACAGCACCACATTTGTGTGTGACACCAGGCAAACATATACTTTAATGTTTCAGTCAGCTGTCAGCCATGATTGTGCTATGCTCAATTGAGAAACAAAGTCGTATTACAAGTTTTCCCCTCACTGTTTAGGCAGCCCTCATATCTGCTTGACATCTTTCTTAGTGATGGAAACAATAACAAAACAGAGGGATCAGAGGCAGTGAAAACAATGAGCTGCTCTTATGCTCAAGTGTGCTGTTCTTGACATGAGATCATGACAGTCTGGTTTCGCCACATGCAGTATCGAGCTCAGCTCTCCAAGCACATGGAGAAACCAACCAAAAATACCAACTTAATAAGCTGGAACCCTTTTTGTGGAATAATGTTTCAGTCAAATGTGTTTTCCCTTTAAAAAAAAAAAAAAAAAAAAAAAAAGGAAACTTCTGTCTCGTCACACTTTATTTCGTCAGATATGACGCAGTTATGCGATATTGTGACTGTAAATAAAGGGCAACTGAAATTGAAAATAAATGTGGCTTAACAGAAGGAATGAGTGAGAGCGTTTCAGGTCTTAAAACTGAACTGCTGCCAACTCACTTCACTTTTTGGAAGTTTCCAAAATTAAAATTATACCTGTAGGCCGATGACGCATTGTCCAGCCTTCATCTTCTCCTCGTCAAACATCCTCTCCTGCTTGTCAGCGTACTTTACCCCAATGTCCACCCGTGACTGGCAACCCTTAGTCTTCGCCTGAGAGGAAAAAAAAGAGTCAGTGCAGAAGGCTGTCACAGTGGATATAGTAAAATCCAATCAGACACCATAACAACAAACACTTTCTATCACAGACATGATATAAAAAACGTCAAGACTTTTAAGACTCACCATGCTGGCGAGCGCGAGCAATGTCGTCTGGACCTGCGTCATGTTGCCGTTCTCAAACAGGTCGTTGGCTTCGAAGATATCATGAGGCTTCAGACCATACACTGTGATGGCTTTGATGAAGTTTGTCAGGTTCTCCAGCTAAAACCACACCAATTTAAACAAGATTAATAAGTGTGTGCAGGGCTTATAATGACAGGTGTGATTATTTCTGTTTTCATACGATCTTCATTTTTTTGTATTAATAGGGTGCAGCAGTCATATAGCGATAGACAGTTTGCAACAATCAGCCAGTCTCAAATGAGGGAGTAAATTTACGCCTCGGTTTCAGAAGCAGCTCTATTAAGCAGTGGCTGTAAAAGCAGACTAAGCTTGCAACACTGCCAGCATGTAATTATAACCATGACCTAGCATGATTCAGTGAACGGACATCCTACTTGGCATAAAACACTAGAAGCACAATATGGCAGCACAGGGAGCAAAAGCAAGTCTCTAACTGCAGGTAACGTCATCACTAGTGCCAATGAACATTTTGCCGCACCCTCAACTGGTTAAAAAGCACACGTCATCAACTAACTCACCTGATGCCAGTTCAGTGCTGACTGGTTGATCTTTTTCACAGAGTTCGGGGCAAGTTTGTTGATAAGTCTGATGTGGGGAGGGAGGGAGGGGGGAGAAGCAGAAAAAGGGAGAGAGAGAGAGAGAGAGAAGCGCAACACATTGAAGTTTTCCAAACCAGCGAACATAATGAAACGGATGATCAAGGCCTTCATTGTGCGGTGTAACGGACAAATCTGCGTTCGCTGCTTACTCGCACAGAATGACTCCATTCTTCAGGCCTTTCTGGAAGTCGGGGCCGATGGAAGCGCCGGTTACGTCTTCGATCCAGACCCTCAGCTCTTCCTCTTTCTGAGAGTCATACTTCTGTGCGATCTGGTGGGGCAGAGAGGTCAAAGGTCACATGTGTTCCACAGACAGCAGTAACAGCCAGGAGGTGATTTGTTAAAACAGTAAGTGCATTGATGGGAGTTTGCCAGACGAAAAATGGCCTTCCGGTCTCCAGTGACCTCGCACATAACACACACACACACACACACACACACACACTTTAAGATTGATAAGAATTTCACAAACTGAGCTACATCTATAACAATGACAGAACAGTGGCTAATCATACATGACATAACATGTTGACATCTGTCCTCAAAAGTGTATTATAACTGCAGGCGATCATGTTTCATGGTCTCCCTTGAATTTCACTTTGCCTCAAAGTAGTATGCCATGTCTGGGGGGGCTTTTTTTTTTAAGCCTTTATAAATAAAATTTAAAAAAATAGACAAAAAGGAGAGACACACACACACACACACACACACACACACACGGATATCCTGTTTGGTAAACTGCTAAATCCTCCCCTAAAACACAGGAAGGCCCTTGCTGAAAGGGGAGGGGGCTTAACATGGCACAGAGATTGACTTTCTAGTGAGGGTGTCACTGTTGGTGTTATTTTGATTTACAGGCTTTAAAAAAATATATATTAAAAAAAAAACCAATGACAACATGCTAAGCTAGCTCTGAAAGAGGCCATTCAAGGAGTAGCATTATGTTCATGTATAAACAGCAGTTTCAGTTTGTTGTGCGACAAACTGGAAAGCAGACATGGAAGAGAGAAAACAATTAGGAGACTAAAACAGGTATAGATTTCTTCTCGTCCAGTAAAGGAAAAGGTGTTGACTGAGCTCCAGTGCAAACTCAAAACCAAACCAACAATCTCTCTGTCTGGAGGGCAATGAGAAGCTGAACCGCAGAGTTTTTAACCTACTATAGAAGTTGGCCGCACTCACCTCACAGCTGGTTGTACTCTTAAGGAATGCCCGTCTTGTAATTAGATTTCCTTCATTCAGTTATCCCCATATTTAAAAAAAACCACAACATTGGCTATTTTAATTGCCCACAAAAGAATCTCAGGGACTGTAATTTACAGGGACAAGCTGAACGCAAGGAATTTACCCCACAGTGCACGGACAAAAGAGTTGAATAAAGCAGCGAGGGCACAGAACTTTTGCGTGTTGACCCAGTGAATGAACACGGACTGTGGCAGCACTCAAAACTGCTGCTTAACTTTGAGTTAACCGTTTAAATTCTACATCTATGAGTTTTAATCAGAAGTTTAAAGGGGAGGGAAGGGGGGAGGCTGTAAAGGGAGTGTAAAATCCCCAAATGCCTCACATTTCACGGAGGAGGCTACGTCACTGATGGCAGGAAATACCACTCAAGTCAGCATCTCTTTAGCCCCCCCCCCCCCTCAAGGGCATCACTAGTAACAGACAGAGGACATCTACATGTTTTCTTTATGTCGGGCACACGTTGTTCAGGAGACATTCTGGGAGGGAACATGACCCTTTCTCTTCTATACAAGGGCACAGCCAAGGAATCAGATCTTTTTTTTTTTTTTTAAAGCTGAAGATGTTGGAAGTTCAGTTAAAGAAACACTGGTAGGTATGTGTTAGAAAGCAGAGTGAGCAAAAGCTTTAGATCTCCATGACTGCAACTTACAGGAAAGCATGCAAAAAACGATGGCAGCGATAAAAGCTTTAGTAATAAAGACGAATGAGCAGAATTACACAGTAACCTATGTCCCCTTCAAAAAAAAAGGAAATGCGTCAAAGTTTTGCTGCTCAGTGTGATACACAATGTGGTCAGAGAAGTGATCTCCAGCATCAGCTCTGGTATTTTAAGTGGACCCGGATGTGCAGAGATCTGTGCAGGCAGGTCCAAGGTGCTTTCCTCCTCAAGGCCGCACTCGAAAAGTTACACATTACCAGAGTGAGAGAAAGCTCATTTTGGAGATTTGTTTGGTTTGTGTGACTGCGCTCTACACAAAGACACACCTTTCCTACACTCCGACATGACCGAAGAGAAGTTTAAAATCAAAAGAAGCAGCCCGACACTTTGCCACAAAGGAGGCGTATGGAAAACCTATTGCTGTTTAAAAAGGAGCAATAAAAAAAAAGGCACAGCAAAGGGCAACAACGAGGATGGATAGCATCCAACCCGGAGACTAATAGGCGAATTGCATTATCTGCTAATGCGGGTCACAATGCCGGGCAACGAGCTGCACAGGGCATAAAAAATGCTGGAAACGGGGATAACAACTTTGCCACAACGACACGCTTCTTTGCCAAGAGGGACAACGCCCATAGTCTGTTTCAAGTTTGTCTCCTGCATGGGGAAAAATAAAATAAAACAATATTCTGCTATTCAAGGTGAAACACTCAATATAGCCTATACTTTGCGAGGTATTCAAACTAACCCAAAGTTTTATGAGAGTTATAAAGTCCGTTTAACCTTTTAAAATAACACTTTAAAATTCTTTCTCCTGTTTTTCCATCCACCCCCGGCTACCCTTTAACCTGACACGCATATCAAAATGGTGGCCAGGTGACTCCCGTAGTCGCTCTCCGAGGAAAGCACAATGAGTGTATGATAGGAAGAAAAGTTCAATAAAACGTAGCTACTTTATGTGAAACATAAAAATATGTAGGATACACCTACCTTGTTTTTGACTTCCGCTGATAGTCCGTAGGCAGGACCCTTGTTAAAAGACATTGTTAAAGAGCTGTGATTTTTCTGTTTGGGTTAAAAAAAACAAAGATATCGACTTGAGGATAGAAACTGCGCAAAATTATCTTCGACTCTCTCTTCCAATGAAAACGGAGTGAACTAAATACTTCCTTTCTCTTTTACCGCCGCCAATTAGAGCGCTCCCACGGTTTCTACCAAAGAGCGTAGATCAAGAGTCAAGATAGTTCACCTCAGAGACTTCACCAGAGCAATAGCTTGGAAACGCAACTTAAACCCTTACACCCTAGGCTAGCCAACAACTTAGGCTATAGCAGTAGGTCTTTGCTTGAAACATGGGATCGGGTGGGGTGGTGATGGCACAATGGATAAGACGCCTGCCTTTGGTGTAAGAGACCTGGGTTCAATCCCCCAATATGACCCACCATTGTGTCCCTGGGCAAGACACTTAACCCCTCATTGCTCCAGAGGCGTGCGACCTCTGACATGTATAGCATTAATAAATGTAAACATGGAAAATCAATATCCTCAGTGATTATGTTATACAAGAAAATAGGAGCAATGACAAGGCTGCTGAAAAAAGCTGTAGTGGTGTTAAGTGCCCCTAGCTAAAAGGGGGTTTTGATATGTGTCATTTGTTTGTTTGTTTTTTGCAACCTGGGGAGGTGCCCTTCTACAATTCAAAACTTGCGCTTGATCAGTGTTTTTGTTCAGTAAAAGATAAGGAAATATAAGAAAAGGGCTTCAGTATTTCTCACCTCATATTTATTCCTGGCAGTTTTTGGGTAAAATTTGTGGAGACTAAAATTTACTCTATGAATAAAATGTGTCTAGTAATTAGGCCTTTTAAAAAATATATGTTTAACACACAGCCGCTGCATCACAGAGAGCTGCATCATTTCTCACATATGAATCGATGCCTGTAACACACAGCGGACATGTCATGCAAACAGAGGAAGTATAAACAGGGTGCAGTAGCTGAGATGTGCCAATCCAAGGATGTGACAACATGCTTCTTTACTGCGAAACTGACACACATCGAACTTTATTACTAAAAACAAAGTTATATTCTGTAACTGGTAGACCTGAGCAGCCTCAAGGGATTGTCATTACAGAGGTATACCATATATCACAGGCTTTATAAGCCAACACTCCAAAAAAAATATTTCAAACTACCCATTCATCCCCTGTATAAAATTGTACATAGAAGTTTCTGCTATTGCGGATGTACGCAGACAGGACTCCTCTTGCTCCTCCTGTATAATCTTTGGATATACGCTTCGTTAATCGATCCTAGGCTCCACCTTTCCCTTACTCTTCCTTAGATCGCGATTGAAATCAAAAACTCCTTATATGGAAGGAAACTTCCCAAATTCCTGAATGGTGGGAGTGATCCACCGGTCCCACCCTGCATACCAGACGTGCAGCGGACCAGACAAGTTGTCGCACTTTTTTGAGTCACTGCTGGAAAAAAAAGTTTAGAGGAACTAAACTAGTAGAGAGAGCTACTGAGGTGACGTAATGTCAGTGCTATGGGATTTCAGATAGTACGTCTTCCCTTCACATGCGAGGATTTGTAAATCTGCTCCATAATGTCTGACAACAGCTTACTCGGCAGGATATCTGCATATTAATGCTTTGTGTATAATGTAACCCATGAGTTGAGAAGGCCAAGGGATTTCTTTTCAGGTCAAAGGGGCTTTTTCTGTTTCTTCTTTCGAATAAGTCAGTTCTATACAGAAAGTCTGGTCTATAACGTATTTGCTTCTTCTTAGAATTAAACTTCTATTTTCTTTTTCAAAAATTAGCAGCACTTAACAATTTACTTTCACAATAGAACATGCTTTAAAATTAAATGGGGGAAGCAGCTTGTTTTCTGTAAAAAAAAAAAAAAAAAGTTTCATAAGTGTTAAAATGTTGCAAGTTCCACCTCAGCCTGATACCCATCATGATACAGACAACTATTCATAGTACATGACATTATAAAATTACTGATTGTTCCTCCTAACATGCACGCATTGAGAAACCATATAAATAATCAAATAATAAAGAAAGCTGATACACATACGTCTAGTTGTTTTTTCACACCAGCCATTATCTACATATGGACAATAGGGCTATTGGTAAAAGCAGAACTATTGACTGAAATAAAATGCAGCTAGTTGCCTTACAAATTGGTCACATTTGCTTCAGCTAGTCTGGTCACATGGTGCATTTAGTCACTTTTCTAACATCTGAATTAAAGTGATTTGTGTTGGAAATAAAGTTGGGTGTCATCATACGCAAAGTATGTTTGAGGTTGAGGAGCTTACTGACTGAGAGGTTTCAATTAAACCCTGAAAGGGTTTTCAACCATCTGCCAAACAAAGTGTGCTGTTTCATATTACTAAAGCTGAAATAGTATATGACTGATTGATTGACTGACAGTTGTATGACTATATTATTTGGATACCCTCATCTCTGGGTTTTGTATTGTCATATAAAAAAAAGCAGAATCATATGGGCAATTTTCTGACATCTTAAAGACTAAACAATTTATCGATTTATCAAGAAAATCACCAATTATTAATCAATAATTACAAGAAGACCTAATTTCAACCAATCACAACATCGGCAGATTTCAGTGAGTTGCACAACTTCAACCCAGATGTCTCTCCTCACTTTCTGACAGCGTCAGTCCATAAATACAGCTGTATTTCTAAGGGTACATGTGGCAGGCAATTACGTCAAACAGGTGTGCAGAGGACTGATTCAGAGTCTGAGAGTAAACACGTCTGGGGGATAGGACAATTAGTCAGCCTGATATCTGTGATGTGATTACGTCAGCTCACTGAGTCATGGCAGGGAGTGACGTAGCTGTGATACCCCTGAGTCTATCAAACATGTAGGGGCCCATATGTAATCTATGTTGAGGATAACAGAGCAAATAAAAATGTCACTTTTGTACACACAAGGATTTTTCATGGCTTCCGCTGAAGAAGCACAATCTCACGCTTAAATCTTTTATTTAAAAATAGAGGGTCATATATTCTTTGCTGGCCTAATAAAATTACAAGCCTGATCAATTAATTCCCAATGAACTGAAATTACTCATACAATCCCACCCTTGCATCACATTCTGATCCAAACAAAGGAGACAAATAGACAATGGGCACCCCCGCATGGCTGTACTGGGTAAGTACAACAAATTACAGCTTAATGCAAAGTCAAAACCAAAAGGTTAAAAGTGTACAGAGCTCAGACAGACTTTCAACTGCGCAAAATATTCAATATGGCAGTTTAAACACAATGGCACTGTAAAAGACCCACAAGTCAGTTAACCGAGTTGAAGATTTAGATCATTTTATTTTTCAAACAATCGAGAGATGTTAAACACTGAACAAATAAAGATGCCCCAGTCAAAACTCCAGAAAACAGATTCTTATCAACCAGTTGTAGCACTTTCCTTTATTGCCAGCTGTGTTGTTGTGCAGTTTCTCATTGTCTGCAGCTTCACCCTCGCTAGATCAGTGTGTACAAAAAGGGCAATGGTGCATATACCAGCGTCGTATTGATCGCGGGGTTTGGAATTCTTGCACATAAACCCAGCTCCGCAGACAGGCGCGTTTTTATGCGGGATCAAATCCGGGTTTACCATTTACCAAGGCACATTGGTAGGGATGAATGACTGAAAGAATGTATGGACAGAGAGGCTACACAGAAGCCCATCTCAATATAAGTTGCGGGGGGGTGGGTGGTAGTTACTAAGTATAAAGGGAAATCAAAATTTAGTATTACTTGTAACATGGAGAATGCCAACAACATCTGATCCACACAGCCTTCTCTCTCTTCCTTTTACATTTGCTGTACTTATAAATGGAAGCTACAGAAATGTTACCTCTAACAGCATCCTAAATGTACTCTTGAAAGTAGCTGCAAAAACATTTGAATGTGTCTGAATACACTACGGGCACATAATCAGTCACTATTCACACTTCAATTAAAGTCAGTGATGAAATGACCAAGTTAGCAACTTCTGTACAAGTGCACAAGAGGTCTCACTCCTGTACATTCAACTGAGGCTGTTTCACTCAGAAATGTGTGAAGAAAGTCCAGAAGGCCAACAATATCTCACGGAATGGAAACCAAGTCCCAGCATTTAAACATGTCCTTGTTTTTATCTCGAAAATGCAATTATTGATAAGCACCATGTGATTTGACATTCTCTAATATTTTAGGCTTGGGAGAGAATTAGTGTGTGGTGAGTTTTATTTTCCCACTTTATCTGACTTCATTTCAAATTAGTGCCACACAATTTTAATGAAACCATTTGGAAATCAAGTGATGTTTCAGAATACATGTCTTCTTGAGAGTTGAGATCACACGGACATACAGGAGCGACGTGATCAGACAGGAGAGAGCATAGGTGGGTGAAGGGTGGAGTATGGAATGTTAATGACCAAAAGCAGTAGCCAATCATAAAGAAAGACCATGCAAAAAACATCGGTATGCCCCTTTGACATAGAAGAGTAGGCTGACAACATTGTAATGCAAACAGAAAGAAAGAAAAATAGTTCTATACGTTTTTGAGCATCTGTCTGGATGAACGTCAGAAATGAAATGGTCAAAATAAATATATGTATACATGATAAGAAATTTATAATTTACTCTATATATCTCACATAAAGCTTCTTGTAACTGCCAAATATGCTCCAGCATTTCACACTCTGGACATGTTCAGCTCTACCTGTGCTAAATGCACTCTTAACACCTTTCTGGGCACCAATATGGCGGTCAAGACAGGACGGCTAAACCCCAGCCTTCCCTCAAATTTAACCCGAGATAGTAAATCCTCATTGGAAGGTAAAAAAAGAAAGAAAACAGTATCATCCCAGTGAGGCTGAAATAGAGGTACGATTCAGAACATGAAAAATTCACATCACAACACCATTTCCAGTTGTCTGGGATAATTCTGTCCTCTCTTTCTTGCCTTTATTGTTATTAGCAGCACTCTGCAACTAGGGCCTCATCATTCCTGTGGCTTTCATTTTGAAAAATAAATCAGAAACAGCCCTTGGTATTACAAACTCAACTAGATTTTTTTAATATTTAGTCTTTTTTTATATCAAAATCTCAACAGATTATCACAGAAAGAGGAAGAGGCGGGGGGACGGGGACGGGGGGGGGTTTAGCAGGCCTGGAATTTGCCGAACTCACAGTGGACAAACAAAATCACAACGTCTCTGCAGGGAGACAAAGAAAGGAGTGGAAAAGGACAGCAATCTTCCCAAACCCCTCAGTCTAGGCAGACATATGGCAGGATGTTCAATTTGCTTTCATCCCCATGAGGGTCCAATGATATGCACTCTGTCCAATCATACCAGGTGCCCTTGGTGTCAAAACAACCGTTCACCCCCGGCCAGTGCTGTGTGTGTATCCTGTCCAGGTCCTCGTCCGTCACCTCCCGGCTCACGCCCGATAAAGCCCCTACAGAGTTGTCTGACTGCAGAACATGTATCTTCCGTGACTCCTTGATCTCCTGTTCTTCCCTTTTCAGATACTCTGACATGAAAAAGTGTGCACTAGGGGCCTGGACCCCTGAAGAGGTGAGCACATTGCTCTGAAGGTTCAAGTACGACTGGATGATTTCATTTCTGGACAGCTCCTTCCAGTTTGTTTGAAGAAAAGGGTTGGGGCTAGGACCCGGGGCAGGTGCTGGGGCAGGCATAGGGACAGGGACAGGTTTCTGGGCTGGGGCAGCGGGCTGCTGTACAGTGCTTTCAGTTCTCTGCCTAGACTCAGCAGGGTCAGGGGTAGGGACTTCATCTGTTTGAGAAGGCTCTTTATGTACCAGAGGTTTGATCTGACCTGTGACAGGATCAAATGTTAATCTGCGTTCTTTTAACCGTACAGGCTTGGTCGTGTCCTCTATTTTCTGGCCATCTAGGTTGACAGAGTAGTCTCTTGACCTATACTTCCTCCTTTTATGCTCCGAGTTTGGGACTGTTGTCCCGTCTGTGTCATCAGACACAGACATGGCTCCCTCAGATGTCAGTCTGTGTAGTTCTGAGTTGTGCTGGGGATGAGAAGGTGACGGGGAGACTGATGGGGATTCCAGTGTTGCAGATATGTCTTGCGGTGCGCAATGAGAGTGGACTTCTGACGAACTGGCCCAGTGCATTGAAGACCTATGAGAAGAATGTGGCAGCTTGTCAGCATAGGATGCTTGGGCTGGGGAAGATACAGGCTGGGACAAAGACAAGGGAGAGTCCCTAGAGGAAGGACTTGGGATAGGTGTTCCTTTCGGTGCATATGCTGAAGAGCGCTTGGTCAGTGTGTCTTGCTTCACGCTCCTTGGACTCGTGGTGAGGGCACGTGGACTTTTGGCTTGATAATACCCCCCACCACCTCCCCCTTCATCCAATCTGGCCTGTTGCTGCATCACAGCAACCTTGATCATAGAGGAAGTGCTAGGTAGTTTGGCCACTCCAGGGGAGCTGGGACGAGGCTTGACAGCATTAACCGGTATTCTGCTAATTTTATCATTATCAAGGTGCTCTATCCGAGATCTGTCAGGAGACAGGACTACTTGCTGGTCAGGCAGGACATCAGGACTGCCTGCGATCCCATTGGTGGGTGGTGGTGAAACAGCGTTATCATATGAAGCCAGCTTGGAAATTTTTTCGGGTAAGTGCACTCCACTGTCTCTGTGCTCTGCTCGGCGCTTGCGGCTGCTTGATTTCTCAGCTTTTGGTGAGTATGTGTTGTGAACATCGTTTCTGATTTTGACTTCAGGGACACCCTTCCCTGACACAGAAATATCAGGAGAAGAGGCATCTGTCCTGCAGGGATGAGAACTGCCATTGGTAGACCCAGGAACACTCGTAACCACAACTGGCCCAGGTTCAATTAGCTTTTGCCAGTTCCTTAAGAGTTTCTTAGCACGCTTGGCAAGGTCTTCATCCTTGGTCTTCTTCCTTACATCATTGATCAATTTTCCTAGTCGGGTTTCCTACATAAATAATGTGGGTGAAAGTTAGAAACAAATTTCTACATGACAATACACAATTTCTACATGGCTTAAAAGTTCACATATAGTCAACTGTCTTACCTCAAGTGCTTCTTTGGTGATTGGATACTTTTCAAGACCGGAAATTACCTCCAATACAGCCACCATATTGCATATCTGCAGGGAGGAATCACAAACATTTTTCATTACTTGCTTAAAAGGAAATATTTAGTATTATCCTAAGTATTATCCTCCTCACCACTACTAGAAAATAACAGTGGGAGTCACTGTTACATGAGCACTTCGAAATCACAGTCCTGGTGAAATAGATGACAATGCAAATGACTGACTGACGAAATTAACCAATCCACCTAATGTGACGGCTAGGAACACTCCAGTATTTCGAAAAAAAATAAAAACAACTCATGCCTGCAACCTGTGGGGGAGTGTGGGTCAAGTTAGCTTAGAAGTTAGCTTTGGAATTATTAGCTTTTCTGTCTACTTCAGATCGACGTTGAAAAGTGGAGATTAAGTGTTAACTCCAAAAAACTCAACCAATGCAAACATTTTAACAAAAGTGTGAGTTTACAGCAAAAACTTGAGGCAAAAGTCATAAACTTTAATTTGAGCGAGTTTCTTTCTCGAGAAAGTCTAGTAGCGTTTTGAGTGTCGACAGACTTTTACCTGTTAGCTGATTTGGCTACCGCTAGCATTTAACTAACTTGGCAACGGGTCTGACTATTTCCTAAAACGTAGCTAATCAAGCTAAGAGTTAGCTAGCTACCTCCCACACTTCGGTAACAGCGTAAACGGTCTACAACGAAAGTATGGCCAATTAGTACAACGTACAGATAATGTCTCAGTTAAATACAAATTTTCTAGGGCACATGTATGCATTATATTCCCCCAAGCAGTCCAATACCATAACCCCGCTTTGGTGTTACGGCTAGGCTAGCAGCTAGCATGCTATATAAACCAGCCAACGCCAGACTAGTGTCTAACCAGGGCAGCGCTTCTGCTAAGTTAGCTTGCAAGCTGTCAAATCAAGAGCTCGGTGTCTCTCCATATTTCGCAGTCATTCGACACGTCAGTGCCAACTCAAATCGCAAATCGTGCATTTTTAAATACAATGAAACAGTTAAGTGACAGCTGTTGGCTGAAATGCTTTGCCGAGGTTGTCGGGAGTGCAGGTAAACAAGCTAAGGTTAGCTAACCTAGCCTGCTAGCTTCACTCACATTGCTCTGACTGTCGATGGCCTGCAGCAGCCGGTCCCTCATCTGCTGCGGGGTTGCTGAGACCGTTGTCATTGCCTGTTCTGTGCGATCCGGAGGATGGAGGGAGGAATCCTCCAAAATGAAAACCGGGTGACAATGATGACTCAAAAGCCGCTGCGGTACCACGTCGGGCGTCCGAACAGCATATTTTTCTGTCGCCCGTAAGGTAGACTGCTCAGTGTTTCTCACATGGAGCAGGAAATGTGTGTGCTGTGTTGACCATTGACTGCTGCCTGCTCGGCGCTCTAGCAACTCACTACCAGCTGGTGGATCTCTCAACGGCCTCCTGCTGCATGCTGGGATACGATGTGTACGCTTTGACGTTTGCACGTATCCAAGTAAACATCCCTGCCGTACACCTGCATCAGAGCCGGTGCAATCCCGGTTATACCCATGAATGCTTCTTTCTGAATGTGCACCTGATCTATTATAATATACAGTGAATCAGTGGCAGGTAACATAATTTTATTCAGCCTGTGAAATGAACCTTAAATTAAAACAAAATGATAATCTGAAGAAATGTGTTGGCAGCATTACTTTAATTACTAATTAATTCGGCCCTGTAAGTCTATTTAAATTACTATTAAATTATCATTTAGTCTGTAAAATGTCAAATGTGATGAAAAACGTCTATCACAGTTTCTCATGGCCCATGGTAACAAATTACTTGTTTTGTGACTTGTTGTTCTGATCACAATTTCAAAAGCCAAAGGTATTTAATTTACAATGACATAAAATAGTGAAAACTACCAGAAATCGTCACATTTGAGAAGCTAGAACCAGATAAATATAAGCATTTCTGCTTGATAAATGACTTCCTCAATAATCAACATGGTTGATGATTCATTTTCTGTTAATAAACTAATCCTTGAATCAACTACTTTTTTCAGTTGTACCATCCTCAAAAGTAACAAAAAACACTTAGGTCACATGCCAAACTAAAGAGAAAAAATACAAACATACAAAATATCACTTCAGTCATCTATCAGTTAGAGGCCTACAGGTTTCACTTTCCCTTGTCCTAGAGGAGGGAATCATATCACAATCTGTTGAGTTATTGTACATTTTTAGACCAACTTTAATTATGGTTTATTTCCCATTATTGCATCAGTAACCAACCACACACACAGCCTGCAAAATCTGTCATACATCCATGTTACATTTAGAACATTAACTTACACTTACCCCACCCTGTTTACCACACAACATGGCAGTTATTCGATTGACCAATATTGATGAGTTTATATTGCAGCATTTCACCAGCAGATGGAGCCTTGTAGTTTCTAAAAGAGATGGGCTTGATCACTAGAACAGGAGATCAAGCAGGGAGCAAGTCAGGATGCTGCATCACTGGACCAGATTGGTTTTAAGACACTTGTGAGCCATTTGAGGGCATTGGTGATGATGGTGCTCCGGAATTCAGCATTTTAAATTGGAGCCACCAAACTGAAAGGAGTTTGGCAAAAAATCTGCAAACAGAGAAATATATTTTTCAAATATTTTGCTCATTTAAAAAGTAATTCTTGAAGCTCATCCACCCATCCCACATGCAAAATGTCGAGTCAGCTCATTAAAATTGTCAGTGTGGACAGAGTGGGAGCGGAGCAGGGCAAACACTGGGTGGGAATCTGCAGAGTGGGTGAGAAAGTCTAAGTTATGCCAGTTATGGGGGCTGTGATCGTCATGTAACTACTGCTTTAGTTCTTAGTTTTCTAGTGCTTTTTGTAGTCCACCTAATGAGAAAAAATAAGATTAGTCATCTTTGGCTTATTCAGATATATTTATTTTAATTTCATTTACAAATAATAATGCAAAGATACAAATACAGAAGCCTTCGCACAAGAAAAATACATCAGGTACAGTTCAAACAGAAGCGTATTTCATCTTTAATATAGCACACATTTACAGCCATACTTGGTTTCTTTTGGTCCAATTTGATAGTTAAAATAGAAAACATAATATGAGGAACAAGGTTTGAACCAGTAATTTTTAAAGGGTTAGCTCAAAAAAGTACCATCTTGCCAAGCTGTGCTGCAGAATGCTAGACTTTGCATATTCTATGAGCATAATGTTTCCTGTTGCTGTGAGTGTACTACAGGAGCATAATGCACCCCTTTACGGCAGTAAAATGCATGTGCAGTGTAATAGTATCACTGTACTCAGAAACAAAATACATTATATAACAATTTAGCTGCCATTGTATGAGGCTTGAACCAGCAGTGGGCTGTCCTCAAAATGCACACAAAGGATTCATAGATGTGGGAAACCCACTGAGTGACTGTACACGACTATGACTCCATTTCATCGTCCTGATTCAGTTTGTTTTTAACATGTTGCATCACAAAAAGTCAATCTACATATCTCATACATAGACTGTACAGTATGTGTATTTCTTAAGCTATTTCTTACTGTATGTCTATGTTATTTCTCAGACAAGATGTATATAATTATATTCACTACAAAATAGTGTTTGACTGCAGATTCATAAAACATAGGCAAAACTAAATATTTAATTTAACGCAAAATACAACATGTCAAGGTAGAATTTCAGTAATCATGTTCAATGTAAACAATGCATTTTTTAGTTCATAGTTTATATATGAAGCAATTTGTACCCCAATAAAATATTTGGGGGAAAAAAGCGAGTGTGTTTCAACCAACGGAAGGATAAATGTCTAAACATTCTCTCATTTATGGCTGTTTTGAAGCTTTGGCTTTTTGGTTCAACTGTTGATTTTGCACAAGAAGAAAGAGAAGGTTAACTGATACCAGATTTGCTATAAAACGAAATTCAACAAAATCAAAATAATACTTATTCTGTTGAAATAATCTTCTGATGGCATGTTGCTGCTCATGGCAAGTACATAGGAAGGAGAATTTCTGCAGAGCAAAAGTCTGTAAATTAAATAAAAAGTGCTTCCAGGGCCTTGAAATACATACAAATGAAGTATAACTCATGAGTTAGTTATGATAGTTCATTATGGTCATACTATTGAAATGTTTGTTATACAATTCAAGTTATATTACTGATACACTGTTAAATTTAAATAGCAAGATAATTTTGGTTTTCTACACTGCAAGTGGTTCATATATAGTCTGTTATTCCAGATACTGTAATTAACAAAGCTGAAACATGTTTAAGGAGAGAAAAACAAACATTGCTCTGTTGTAAACTCTTGTCACTGTAAACACCAATGTATAATACCAATGGATACCTGAACATTGATGCATAAAAAAGGTGTCAGTAACAGGCGACACATAAGTCAGCGCTATCTACATGTGCACAAAAAAAGTTGAAAGAAAACAGAAAATGGACCTACACAGATGTCAGGCTGACTATAAAGTCTGAGGCCCAGCAGAGAATATCAAGCCACAATGACATATTGCAGCACAGTATTTCTCAGTGCATTTTCTCACTTTGACATCATATCACATAGAGCACAAAAACATTGTTCCTACCATACAGCAATATACAAAGCTAGTCTAGATTTACCATGACATACTAAAAACTTTGTCGGGGGTTGCACAGAAAATAAGCACATACTGTATATTGCAGTGTAAAACATAGTACCAAACAACAGCTTCTACATGTGCATAAAAGGCTGATTACCATATATCTGACGCTTTTAGGCTTCACTTAGCAGATACATAACCTACATATGACGCTGGATTAAAAAGAGACAAAGGACAAGATTACCTAACAAGAAGAACAAAACTCTTAGACAAACAAAGCTGACCCCAGCCTTCAAAGGAAATAAAACCCAAGCCATGAACGGGGAAAAAAAGTGATTCATGCAGTCACAACATTATTAAAAAAGAAAAAGAAAAAGAAAAATCTGCATCACTCTTCAGAAACATGATGCATCCAAAACAGAGTATTTTTTAAAAGGGTTGGGTGGGGCTTAACAACTTCATTTCAACTGACTCGATAGCATTTGTCAGAACATTTTTTGATGTACATTATGTGAGAATAATGGTGAAATGTGTGGGCACAGGAAGACCTTGTCACACATCAACAGACATAATGTTGTAACTACAGAATAGCCTTTTTCATAGTGTGGAATATTGATGGGAAATGGCTATATAGTGTCCTATAAATTAACTTATATATATTCATTTTAATAATATTCATACCTGGACTGAATTCCAATATAAATTCCATAAAATACTTGGATTGGTTAATCCCATCTGATACAGTATTGTGATAATGCGCCCTGCAAATTTCAAATGTACTCATCTGACAAATCACACTGTAACTGCACCGTTTTTTATAATAAACTCTCAGTTTGCTAATCAATGATAAATTATATTATTTTCTAAATTAATACATTTCTATTTTCTTAAACCTGCTATCAGTAGCAGAAAGAGCTGCAGCACAGGAACATGACCGACACACCTCTGATCACCACTGTCCCAAAATACAAATGTTTTCCTAAATGTAGGAAAAACTGCATTAACAGTAGACAGCTAACAAAATACTCACTGATTAAGTAAAAACAGCTCTTTTAAATAGACTATCAATATATCACTTTTCAAAAATAACTATAATTTAATTTAGCTTTTTTTTCACGTCTTTTTCTTTTTTTTTTTCTTTACAAGAAGGCAAGTTTAATCAAAGACAGGGCAAACAGGTCCAGTGCACATAACAGTCACAGGGGAGTTTGGTATATAAACGCTCATAATTCAGTGTTTTAAATTAATGCATAAAGTGCGCTATGAGATATGGGACACAGTTATCCAATGGACCACTCAAAGTAACACACTGACTTCACAGAGGATTCCTTTTCACAGCCACATAAATGCCGAACTGAACACCGGAGAGACATGGAACAAATCGATAAAGGGTGCAGACAACACCGGCATGACGAGGAAACTGATATGCAGAGTCACTGTAGTGCAAAGGAAACAAAGATATATAAAACTTAAAACAGTATGCCATGTCTCCTTCGTAGGGAGAAAAATGAACAGGTTAAATATATTTGGTCCTACAGTACAAAACAACAAAAGCTAGATATGAGAGGCAATGAGGATGACAAGGTGGCAACAAAACAACTGTACAGATGTGACCTAAATACATTCTCATTGAATCAACAATGCTGTTCTAGTATAGAGGCAGTTCAATTGTCTGGAAAAATATATATATTTCAACTACACTGAGGTCACATCTTTGGGAGTAATCCAGGAGAGTTTCTTTCATATGCCATCCTCACTGAGCCTTTTTTTCTCTCTCTCTACACCATACTAGTCTGACAGAAAAATGTGAAGAGTTTCAAAAATATCTAAATAAATATAACATGGCACCATCGCTGTGCATTCTATAAGAATGTTGCACATTGGTTTCCTTTTATAAGGGTTCATCTTATCAGTTCCGTGGTACAGTCCTAAATCAAACGCTTTAGTTTTGCATAGATACCATTACGCAAAATCTTGTCACATTCTTTACATGTAAAATATATAACAAAACAAACCTGTAAACGTCTACTTCATAACAAACAACTCATGTATCCATTTAGAGCTGAGTGGTAAATGAATATGAAAAGTGACATGGTAGTGACAATGGTTGACGAAATGGATATCGGCACACCTCAAAAATACAACTACAGTAATGCAATTGTGAATTATGTAGGCCAAACCACCTGTAAAACAGTAAAAAAATTACTTGACAATTAAAACATTTTTTCCTCATTTACATAATAGTCATCTTTGCATGAAAACCAAAATGTCAAGCTATTAAGGCAAAACAAGTATGCACAGTGATTTGCGATTTCATGCATAACTGATGACTGCTATTTACTAAGGTAAAATCAAAATTCAGCATTTCCTAAAAACAACTTAGGTGGCAAAATAATGATTCATCGTCACTCAAGTCTTGAGATGAAATTTGGGGAAAATCAAACCAGGCCACGCAGGGATTAGCACTACATGTTGAATGAATGAATGTTCTAATAAGAACAACCCGTTTGGCACAGAGGGAGTTTAAAGGTATTTCCTCTGAGCCATCAAGCTACTCTATGTTAACAAATCAATAGGTATACTGTAGATTTGCTCTGCAGACATGGTTGAGTCAGTCACTGATGGAGAATGAGAGACCAGGCTCCTTCTGCCACAGTAGTTTCATCAAGCTCCCTCAAATGAAATCTAAGCATCTAAAATAAATCAAAATTTGTTAAAAGTAGTGACAGAACCATGAAAATCACTCATACCATAACTTGAATGTCATCAGTCGTAAGCCATCTTTCTGGTTCTGAAGAGAAGGGAGGCCGGCAGCAGTCTTCAGATAAATTTCAATGCATTTTCCTCCAATAATGTTTCTTTTAAAAGTTCTCTCGTAGGGTTTTGATTGGGTTGGTTGGTGTGGAATTGATGCTCTGCCCTGACGAGGCCTCAACCTGCACGCTCCAGAAATGTGCGCGGGCAGCGGTTAGAGACGGTCGAGGCGAAATGCGTCCTCTGTGGCGGGGTCAGCAAGGACCATGTCCGGGTCATTGAGCATGTGCAGGCCATCCAGCGTCAGTGGGTCGATTTTCAGATCATCCAGTGGGAAGTGGGAGTCTATATCAAAGCTGACATCTGTGGACAGCGAGCCAGTCAGGTCCTTAGGCAGGCTTGGGGGAGACTCTCCACTCACTGAGCAGAAGCAAGACCGCAAAATAAAAAATAAAAAAGGTTAGTAGTTAAAGGCATTTGTAGGCGGATATTTGTCTCTGTGAGGTTTTTATGGGGGAGAGGAAAGGCTCTCTGATTAAAATTAGAAGAGAATTCAATGGCAGCAAGAACAAGAAGTCTGGGTTATAATTTGATAATAACTTGCTGTAAGAGGCTTGACATCTTGACATCTTAATTGCACATTTCAGTAAAGAGACTGTTAACAACAGACACTGCTAATTTTCAACACAACAAGACAACTGAGTGGAAAACATAGTTAGGATGTAAAATCCTGTTAAATTAAAAATTAAACATTTTTAAGAGGTTTATCACTAGATATGGAAGACTTTAAGTTATAAATTTAAGCAGCATTTATTGCTGCTGTAACTGTCACTCATGATAAATTTGACAGCCCCACCCATATACATTTACCACCACCAAAATTGTTTTCATACTGGATTTCTTATTGTTAGTCTTCTCTGGAAGGTGTTTGAAATTGTGGATTGATTGAAAGCTCTGTCAGCAAGGCACACATGCAGTTTCTGTACATTTGGAAAATAACTGTTTTTGCAGCCAACTCTCATGTGTGGGATATGTATGCCAGCGTGTTCCAGTTATTCAGAGCTCACCCTGCCACAGTGATTTAGAGATGGCCTTCAACTCTGTTATTCACTCATTGCATAATTGGCGGATTAACAACAATGTCAGGCAATTTACCGGCCTAATATGATGCTTTATAGGAGCCTTGCCTTGAATCATATCTGTGTGATGCTTATAATGTTCAGCTTTTGTCGATTCAGTACCAAGACATACTAGCTAGGGTTGGGTATCGTTTAAAATTTTACGATACCAGTACCAAAACCAGTACCCTTAAAGTCATACCGATAACAATAGAGCATTCGATACCTTGCATAAAATGCCACCTGTTGAAGCCATAGTAGTTGATTGGCAGCCTATTATTATTTTTATTGTTGTTAAGGCTATCTATTTAATTTTGTTAAGGCTATCTATTAATTTTTTCTTGTTTCAAATAACAGTTACATAAAAGTATTGGGAAATTGTATCAGATCGCTCCTCATCCTAAATAGTTCATCCTCACGGGTAGTAAATTATTTTATTTTGAATTACTGATGAGGAGTGAAATAGTTTAGTGACCAAATAAGTTGTGGGAAACTAATTTAAGGTAAATTTTTGATACGTGTGTTGAAAGTAAACGACGGAAAATTAATTGTTAACTTTCGATCAATAAACTCAATTGAAAGATCTACACGAGTGCTTTTTCCTTTATTGGTGAGTCGCAAACCTCCAAAACGACAGCCACAAGTATAAAACGAGATAGGAGTCTGTTAATACAAGTCACTAAACTACACTAAAGACTTTAAAGAAGCAAAGAGAGGAAAAGGGAGGCTGCACGTCCAGCTGATCACACCAACTACATCTGAAGCAGCCGCAGCTGCAGTTGCAGCCAGAGGCTCCGTGAGTAAAAGCATATAATTGATGTGATGGAACGCAGAGATCGATTGGTGACAAGTGATGTGAATAGCAAATAAAAATGTACAGAGAAGTGTTAAATGATACCAGAAGATGAAACCAACGGAAAGCCAAGCTTGTGGTGACAAACTTGCAACAGTGACGAACACATTTGAGACCGCAGCCGAAGGTGGGCCGCTGTTAAAATCACGCATGGACTTGGCCTTTTTTATACAATTTATGGTGCAGGCACATGAGGAAAAAAAGATGTGCTCTTCTCTGTCTTTCATTGTGTTGCTTGCGTGTTTGGCTGCAAGCAAAACCATACAAATAGTAATTTTTTGCCGCGATCTGGTTACAAAAAGTATCGATTGAAGTACTGGTTTGACTGGAGACGTTTCAATTCACCTCGATACTGCGCTGTTTCAGTCAATACCATAAAGGTATCGAGTAATAATACCCATCCATAATACTAGCTAATATGAGGTGCATAGACTTGAGTGAGGCATAGGATGTGTCGAAGAGGCACCTGTGAGAATGATGTTGGGGATGTTGCCATGGCTACTGTAGCCCAGCTGCTGCGAGTCCTGAAGGTTGCAATGGCCACCGGTCAAACCCATCATGAGTGCCTGGGAGTAGTTGAGGGTGGAGGTCTGGTTATACAGGCCACCAGAGCTGATGGGGGTTTCAATCATATTGAACTGCTCCAACTGGCAATCACAACAGAGACAGAAATATCAAAACGGCTGCTGTTGTATCCAACATAACGGCTCTAAAGCAAAAGCAGGGGGAAAAGCAGAACTACATACTGACATGTAGGCATTAGCCTGACCTGTTGTGAGAGTGCACTGGCCTGAATGGACGGGAGCTGCTGGTCGTAGAAGTCTGCAAACACGCTACCCAGTATGGAGTTATGCTGCAACAACAAACAGGCCAAATCAGATTATTTAGCCTTTGGTAAAAACTCCTAGTGCGGACCATCAACTGTGAATATTCTTCGCCCGGACTGCAGAAGTTACACATTTAACATAAAATGTGGAGTATGAAAAGGACACAGTCAAAGCAGCAACAACACTGTAAGCAGCAAAGTGCTTAATATCACCGTACAACATTTGGAAATGTCATTCTTCAGAGTAACTAATTCACAACCAGTTCATGTATGCTAATGCATCCAGCGTTCTGTACGTGTATGTTACAATATTTGTGTATTTATTGCAGAGAAGAGACAGACTGCTTAGCACTCATTAACGATTTGCTAACTCAAACATAGCTTAAAAGTGCACTGACAGTTCAAGGGATGGCACACACAGAAGACGCAATAAACAAGCATGTACTAAAGAATAATTAAGAAGAAACTACTTCATTCTCAATGGCTGTTTAGAGCAAGACACAGACACAAAAGGCAAGAAATCTGCAATCTTACAGCGTTTGCTTTGATGTACAGATGTAGTAGGCATACTGTACATCCACTATCACAAGAAATTATGAATATTTCATAAAGGGAACTACTTAAAAGACACCGCAGTGGCAGTACTTTTCTCCATCTTCTCTCCATCTTAAAATTGAAGGGAAATAATTGAAAACCTGCAAAAAATAAAAAGATACATTTTTGGTGCATAATAAGTAACAAAATCAACGGACTCACTACAAAATGAATGATTAAGCAAACAAACAAATAAATAAATTGGGGGACTTGTTTAACTGCATGTATAAGAACCATTAAATATACCATTATCCCAAAAGTGAGTATACACCATGTACTGATAGATGGAAGCAAAATGTCAAAAATCAGTCAGCTAAAGATGAGGACATAAGGCAGCTCAATCCTCTGCTGCCTTCTGGCCTTGGTGTTTTAATTTACATGGACCAAATGGAATGAGATTGATATGAAATAAAAGGAATCATTGAAAATATGATGCCCTTTGTGACTTTATTCTCCCTCCACAGACTCATACAGTGCCAGCTAATGCGCTTGAAGTTTCTCATTTGAATGTCCTCATTGAAGCAGCAACAGAGATTCTCCTATTTCATCGAGGCCTCTTAATGTATAAGTAATTGGATCATATTCTCAGCCCGTGCTCCTCCTAGTTCGAAACTAAATTATCTGTGTGTGCTGCAGATGTCCCCGCAGGGCAGAGCAGGATAATAGAGCACACAGCTTGTCAGTTGTGGTTTAGCCCGTGGATAACCTCAGGACTACGAGTGAGCCACTTCAGCTTGGGAGACAATTGAGTTGGGTGAGCAAACAGCAGGACAAACATGTAGATATGCATACGCACAGCGTTGTCACCGTCACCTGCCACACATCTCTTTCACGGCATCTCAAAGCAGAAGAGCAGAAGAGACAGAAGAGACAGAAGCAAGGCTTTTCATGTTTTCAGTACTGAATTTAATACTCTACAAAATATACATTTAAACATGTCATTTAAGGTTTTATTAAGGGAGGTTAAATCAGTCAACGATTTACAAATCTCAAATGCTTATACTGAGTCTGACACAGATTAAAAGCCCTGAGCTATGTTTACCTTGGGTGCGTTTAGTTTATCTTAAAGCACCACCACCCTGCAAGCAAGGTTCAGTTTGTTGAGATTCAACCATGGGAATGATTAGCAGCTTCTCCACAAAAAAGCTTCCAGGGGGGATTACCATCTCCCCTGCCACGCTACCTCAAATCCAAAATACAAAACCACAATAAACACAAAGATCTGATGAACAGTTAAAAAAAATACAACACTCCAGTACAGAGTCTTATATAGCAAGACTGGGGAGGAAACGGTAGAGATGCAACGAAAATACCACAAAAGCAGCAGAGAAGGAAGGTCAGGGACACGGCTACATAACAACACATCAATGACACGGAGTGTTTCAAGAGAGTGGAGGTCAGATCTGGGCAAAACAGGGACTACGTAGGCTTCACATATCAGTAGTTAATGTCACCACCCATTACTGTGATCATATTATGACATTTTTTGTTTTTTAAAACAGTAAACTAATATATGCTGAGTATTACAAAGTTGTTTTTGTTGTGTTTGGTTTGACTTCCTTTAGTCGTATCATGGCATGAAAACCACAGGTGTAATTAACAACATTAATTATGGTGCTGTGTATGTTGCAAAACGTCCACTGAAAAACACCTGTGAATTTCCTGCTATGGCACGTCAAAATACCAGCAGTGAAAAGGGTCAACTGTAACGCAAATCAATATCAGAAGATCCTTGTATTACTGCGATTTTTGCCCTTTTTCACCCTTATTTATAGAAGCAAAGTGACCAAGCTAATAATTGAACAAATAACTATTCAACTAACTTAAATAGGAAAATATAATAACCTGATTTGTCTTGCTCAAGTGCTTAAAATAAACCGACATACTTAACTTACTTTTTGCCCAGATCTGCTAATGTCAACACAATACAAGCAGCTGTAGGGGGTGGGGTAGCCACAGAGTCCTACTCAGCAATGCTAACCACAGAACTACAATGTGTTTATACAGAGCGAGCCAGCAGCTCACTGGTTCACACGCCCTTACTTGAGGCGAGCCTCCAGGTGAGAAGCCTTGATTGGAGACGGGGGAGGTTGGAGACTGATTGGCAGAGGATCCGACCCTACTGCGGTACTGTTGGAGGGAGGAGGCCTGATACAAGAGGATACGTTTGAGTTATTCACATTGGAGAATGTTCTCCATTGGCGTCTGCGTGTGTCAGTGTGCTCATACTGGATATTATGTATCTTTGTTATTTGCATCTCTGGTGCTTTTCTATACTTTAGGTTTCCAGTTTACCTTTATCAGTTCAGCAGGTTCCCCTACTGAGGAATCACTAAAATATTGATTCACTGTTTTTAATGGTTGTGACCCCACATACTAGTATCTAATGCTGAAATATAATTAAAATAATAACAGTACACTCTGTAACACATGTCACATTAATGCATTAATAATACTCAGAGAAAACTACAGGGGATTAATTAGGAGAGGAAAATGTTGCCAGGAATCTAAGCTAAGCGACTGAATACTGTAAAACTGGAGGATCAGAGAGAACCAACTCTGCTCTTGTTCTGTTCTGTCATATCTGCTATTTTTAATTTACTCATCCAACAAAATCACACAAAACAAAAAAACATATCTATTCTGATCACAAAATCATCACGACCATAACTGTGGAGAGAAAAACATCAAAGTATAGTAAATAACAGATAAACTAAGTAATTCAGATTTAGTGGTGGATCAAACAAGACTTTTTATCTCTCATCACTCAAAAGCCAACAGGTGTTCAAACCACCACATTCCTAATCTATAGTTAGATAAGCTTTAGAAATTTTGGTAGCATAAGAAAGAGATGTGATAAAGCAGTTCAAGGTCTCTAGATACAGATATAAACTAGTGAAATAATAATTCCTATTGTAGACCTGTTTGAACTCTCAAGAAAGTGAAAGAAGATGGTATTTTCCACGATCTTGCCGGAGCTGTATTTGCTTCAGACCTCAAATCTACAAAAATCTAAAACCATCTCTACAAACAAATTAATGCACAAAATAAGCAAGAGAAGTGTAGATGAGTTTCATATTTATGGTTAAATAAACATAAAGTTTGGTCTAAGCTGCTGTGTTTCCTCGCAATGTTTCTCTTGACCCCACACTGCAACGTCTATAAAACATTCTCTGAGACCAAGAGAATGTAGGCCACTTCATTTCTTTCTTATCCAAACACATTCCCACTGCAACAGAAGTAGAGCGAGAGCCAAGATTTGAAGGACCCGCAGTGCCTTGCAAAAGCGTTTAGATTCCTTGATGTTTTGCACATCTTGCAGTTTTTGTCTTAGTTCTGGGCAAAGTAAAGAAATCAATTCTTCAACTGTAAAGATATACATTTTATAGACAGAACATTTTGTTTTCTTTTTTAATGTTAGTGATCACTATACAACTCTTCCCATAATAAATGCACTCTACTTCATATCACACCCAAATGTGCACAACGAAACGGAGTCTGAATGCTCTGACACGGCAGCATGTATCATCGAGGCCGACAAACTAATGCCACCAGAAAACACAATTTTAGGAAATGAGAAATGAGATCCAGCCATCACTGTGTCGCTGTCATAACTCAACACTGTTAAAACACTGATGCACACATGCTTCCACTGCTCACCGTGTTCATGTCCATGGTCGCGTTGCTTTGTGAGGACGTCTGGTTGTCTGACGTGGAGCAGGAGTTCACGGAGGACGACAGCTGAACCAGACCTGTCTGCTGGAAAATAAAGAGTGAAGTCATAAATAGATACAGACATCATCTTATCATCAAGTAACAATTTATAGCTCTAATATTGGCTTATCACAGATGAAGTATATCAGAATCTGCTATTAAAGTATGTAGGCAGATATGTAAAAAGAATTAGCAGTACATAAACAGCTATAGGCTGCATTATTATGTGTATATTATTTAAATTCAAGTTCTATATATTTTTGTTGTATTTTTGTTTCTTTATTTCCAGTGGTTTACAGTTAAAACTTCACTGTTATCTTATATGTATTCTTACTGTTGTTAGTGACCATTAAACTATCATCGTCAAATATCCTTCATTCTGCATCTTGTGCATATGTTTGCCACAACTCTCTAATAAATAGATTTGACAAATCCTGTCTACAAATGTTGTTTACATCATGTTTATGTCAAAATAAATATCAAATATGATTATTAGAAGTTCAAATATCGATAACAGTATTAAGAAAACATAACATTACTTTAATAAATAGAATAAAACATCATAGAGCCCCCAAAAAAAGTCAACAAATTCTGTTTGAATCATTCATTTATGAAGTACTGCTACTGTACATCAGAGCAAAACTCCATAAAAGGGGTTTTCTTGAGGATGTGAAGAGCTGGTCCGAGGACAGAGAAGACCTTCCATAGTGCTGAGGAAAAATTATGGATTTGGTTGCAATATCGTAATGAGAATATTTGCTATTGCTTTTTACAAAAATGTCTAATATTTTTCCATTTCCTGCTGGGAACTCTGCACATAGTACAACCTGTGAGGGAGAGACTGGAGTCTGCTCAGGTTCAACCACAACTCAACAATAAACCCCTTAACAAGAAACACATCAGAGGTCTGTCCAGTCCTGCTGGTAATTTGACATTAATTAGTTCTGTCAATTTATTTAAGCAACAGACTTTTATGCATAAGAAAATGGTCACTTTCAACAGATTAATAAAATCATCCAAATAGAAAAAGTACTTGAAGGTCGGGACACATCCTCTTCATTAACAGCAGAGAGTCTGGTTTTTATCTCAGATGTTTATTTCACTTATTTGTTCACAATCTGCTCACATCTGGATGTTGAAAAGGATTTGCTGGCTATAGACGGCGGTTTAGATTTGACTGAGAAGATCTTAACATGAACGACTGAAATTAATGCATCTGAAATAGCTTTACTGAAAAACTGCAATGCACAGTCGTGGAATCATTGCTGCTAAACTTTGTTTAAAATCCAGTAGGAAATAATATATTTGCAAGGAAGCTGATTTTCTGGCGTGACATGGACTTAAAACAGTAGTTTCAAATTGAGCTATTTTCACAGCAGTGACATGTAAAATCAAGCTTTTTTCCAATGCAACCATTTTGTTTTTGCATAAATATTGCAATAATTGGACAAAATTTTAAATTCTTACATATCACTCACGGATGAGTCGAACTATTGTGATTGCAGTATTGCAAGAATTAAGGACTTGAAGGACCGGATATCTGGGAAAGCAGGTGGCAAAACTGAAAAGCTAACTTGTAAAGGAAGGATAAGTTTGAAGTTTCAGCTGTCGTACCACCAGACGACAGAGCAGCTTTTATCCCCAGGCTATAAGACTTTTAAGCTCAAGTTCATCCTCAGCACTGCTCCATTGATTATAGTTTATTTCTGTTTACCATTTTTATAATTGCTTCTGTATTAATGTATATTGTCTGACTTTGCTACGTAGCAGAAGGGAGTTACAAAACTCATTTTCACTATATAACCTGTTATACTGTGACAAATGTATGTTTTCATGTCTTTAAATGTACTAACCCGAACGTGTGCTTCTGATTTAAAAAACTGTAACTGACTTGGTGTTTGAGTCCCAAGTACATACTCATTTTGTTCTCTTCTCGCTGAGCTAAAATCCCCAACAATAAAAAAATCTGTGAGTGCAGCTCAAGCTTTTGTGCAGGAGGGATACTCACTTGCTGGCTCTGGTGGTTCTGGGACGACGGCTGCTGGCTGAAAAAGGTGTACTGCGACAGCTGCTGCTCAAGGTTCATAGCATTGATGGCCGCCTGGGGGGGACACAGCAACAGATAAGTCATGAGGTTCCAATGTTTTATGGGAAATGCCTTTATTCCAATATTTGTAGCCTGTTCAGTTGACAAATTTTCCATTAACTTTATAACCCATAGAATAATAATTAAAAGTGGTTATTTTATACCTACTAATGGAAATGATTAACATTTACACCACATACATAACCTCATCGCCCTAACACGACAAAAAGGTCAACCTGATCCAATGGGAACTGTCGAAAATAAATGAAATCAAAAATTCAATAATAAATTGAGCTTACATGATTGATGAGCTGAGGTTGGGGTGGAGAGCGGGGCTGTACCTGAGAGAGACTGAGAGGTGGAGAGGTTGGGGAGAGCTGCAGGTTCTGGTGCTGGTGGGAGTCTCCTGTGTTCAGGAGGAGAGGAACCATGTCGTCCTGCCCTGACTGTATTTCCATGGATACCGCGGGCTGAGATGTGTTCACTCCTACCCAGCACACAAAAACGGCCTTAAGGAAAGAGTCTTTTAAAAGCACACGTAGAGAAATTGGCAATGTTGAAATGAAAAGTCATTAAGATCCTGCACATAACTACGGGAAAATCGGAAAAGTTCTTTGTTAAATGTGAGTAGACTGCGATATGTCGACAGTGTTACCTTGCGTGTTAGCCACAGTCTGTGTGCTGTTGGAGGAGCTGAACGAGGCGGCTTCATCTGAGTCGAGCGGGGTGGGCAGCGGAGGAGGAAACTGGATGTTGGTCAGGTCAGGAAGAGAACCGCCAGTATTGTAGGTTGCTGGTTTTAATGAAGTGGTCAACTGCTGGTCCGGAGACGGGAATATGCTGCAGAAAACAGACGGGTGTAGAGAACTCAGTCAGTGACGACAAGCTTAATGCACTTTGAAAAATGACATGACAATCTGAGGGAGCAGAAACACAGGATATCTTGTGCGAATTACTGAGCAACACTGGTAAATGTTTTTCAATATAAACAACTCCACAGATATTTGGACTTCATGCATTTGGCCAGCAGTACTTTTGCAAATGCCTTGGCTTCACACTCTTATTACTTTGGCGGTCGAGCGCGTAAATGAAAAGTATGTTTAATTACATTCAGATGGCTTCAATTTAAAGTTATGTTTTATTCATGTTCTTCTGATGTGTGTGAATATGCACTTAATTTGTTAAGTTGCCTGTGTGCACTTAATGCCATTTTCACTTCACTAAGATTACAACAGTGCAGCCATAATTAAAATTCATCATCTTTTCATTATTTTAGCCAGACTTACAAACATTTCCTCAGGCCAGTTCTATACAGGAGAACCAGTAAAATACTCACTGGATCCCAGGGACTTTGCAGGGCTTGGACCTTGAAATGTTCTAAAGGGGGGGGGGGGAAATTCACAGCTGTAGTGTTATGAAGACTACAGAAAAAGCTGATTTGAAAACATTTATGTGAGCACACAGGCTCCACCTTTTTGCACTCCCAGTTCTGGTTTTGTCCATCGTCATCAACCTCTTGTTTAATTGCTTCAGCCCCTGGTACAGTGAGCAGAAGAACTGGAGAGATGGAGAAATAGGAAAAAATAAATAAAATAATAATCTTCTCAGTCTCTTGGGTCTACAGATGTCCAGCCTGTTTAAGCTTATAATAATCACAGCCCACATGTCCTCGTTAAATATGATCAAGAAAAGAAAGGGAGGAAGATAATAAAAAAATTGAAAGGAAGAACAATATAACATGAAGTGTGACATTAATAAAGTAAAAAGATTTTAAAAACTTCAATACAGAATGACTTTAATAGGTTAAACTAAAAAAATGTATCCAAGGAGATTTATACAAAATCAATCAAAGTGCTAACAGAAATTAAAATAATCTGCCTCACGCAGCCATTAATGGTAAAATTCGTCAGACACTTGGATGCACCCTGTCTTCTCTGCAGTCACTTTCCTCCTCTGCCTTCAAAGCCAGATTTAAAACCCTTTCATCATACATTGGAGGGCACTCCACTGAACCGTCAAGGGAAAGCAGCAGAATACCACAAAAAACAAACAGGCTTACAACAAAACAGCCCCAGCCATCAGCACCTACTACAGCTAAGAAGAGGAAGGCACCCCAACAGTCTGGTTAAGAACTGATGAATTAGAAAAGCTCAGTTTATACTTAACACTTTATGAGCATATTGTAATACATGAATTCCCTTATATCAACCTACTGTAGAATTTTTATTTATCCTGTTACTGAGCATGTTCCTATGTATCCTGACTTAATGAAAATTATCCTTTAACAACTTTACAATGAAAACTCTTTGAGATAATGTGTACCTCGTTTTGGCTGTAGCTCCTGTGATCCTCCAGTGAAAGAGGCCTGCTGGGCAGGAGTTAATGTGCTCTGGTGTAGTGCTGAGTCAGAGTTTGTCCTGCAGCACAAGAATTAAATTCACAGTGCACATTGTATAGAAAAATCTAATAAACACTTTTTTGAAAAGCACAGAAAATACAAATCACTCAACAACAATGTTGTACAGCCCACAAAAACAATTATATTTTAGACCAATTCAAGCTTTAAGGAAGGCATAAACCACAATCATTTGTCATACTGACTGTTTTTTAGGTTCATGGAGAGTCTCCACTGGTCTACAAAAAGTATGATAACATTTTGAATAATCTGAATGTGATCCTATATTTTCTAACGGCTTATGGTGAAAGTCTATAGGCAGCATTTTGTCCATGACAGTAATCTGTAAAAATAAGTCGCTAAATGTGTGATTATGTGATATGCTTCCATAATCATTTGCGATTTTAAAAAGTCTTGTCATGTTCCCAGTTTGTCTTGTATTGAGCTGACCCCACAGCTTCATGAATATACAAATAACGTAGAGCAGTGTGGTACAAGTCAGAATTATTATGATAAAAAAAGAGTAACAACTAGGATAAAGAGTCATGCAGAGACTGGGTTTCAAGTTTAGCCCTAGTCTTACCTCCTCCAGCTGGTATCAGGTGGTGGTGACAGATATACTGAGCCATATGGACAGCTGTCAATGTGAGATTGCAGGTTAAGAAAACACAGCTGGCAGATTCATTGCATTCATTTCTGTTAATTCTTTAAACACAAGGAGGTATAATAAAAAGCAAAATGTTGGTGGTGTCTCAAAGAAATCAGCATGTGATAAAAGTGAGGAGGAATGAACAGCGAGCCTCACATCACGGTCCGATATTTGTCAGGGCTTAATCTGCAATACTTACTGGCTCACTGTACATGCTGCTTATTACAGACATTCCTGCCAAACACAAGCATAATTTGACTTGAATTAATTACAGGCTGAAGTCATTTACAAGCATGCAAAAAAAAACAAGTGAAATGATTCTGCAGCCATAGAAATATCTGAAACAACCATGAGCTACATTTAGGCACATGTTTAACCACAGTAAATAAATCTTATAAAACAGCATACAGCCTCTAAAGTTGTATGATCTATGATAAATTAAGTGAGAAAATTCATCAGTAAGTAAGTCATTTGGACCTCAATTAGCCGAGTGATCCTATGTTCTACATTCTATCCTACAAACTGTAATTTAAACAACAGCTATATTGTACTTTTTGTATCCTTTGTTTGTTTATCTTTTTATATGCTATTGTCAATTTTATGTTTTATATTTATGATTATTTGACCGCAGTACTTGTTCTATCTTTATCTTATATTTTTCTACCTCCTATGTTTTTAGTTAAGCACCAAAACACCAGAGCAAATTCCTCATATGTGTAACCCTACTTGGTAATTGATGCAGAAACAAGGAGCACCTGTTTGGGCACAAAATCCTGCTGATAAACTTGATTGTCTTAAAATGTCATATATCAATCCACTTGAAGGCTAGGGTGTTAAATATTACCTCCATATCAATGTTTTTTCAATGTAATATAACTATACCAAGCTGCCACATTATTAGGCAGACCTAGTTAAATCTAATGCAATGCAATTTAATTGTCATGTAATAAATGTGACTTTAAGACTTAAGATTTGCAGTTTTTGTTGATACTGTTTTGTGGTATTTCGATATTTCAATATTGCAAGATACAATTTAATGGCACAACAAACCACAGTGGTGCTTTCAGACAATACAGGAAAGCACTGAGACAGAATATCATTAGGAATCGGCCAAATTGATAGCCTGGGAACCAGACAAATCTGTACAGCTCATGTCTCATTTGCTCAGGCAGACACGTCTGGCCACTCTCCCATTCAGACAGATTTCTACCCAAAGTGGATCTGGTCGGGCCAATCACAACAGTTCATCTAATGTAGGGAGGGTTTGATACGATGACTGACAGAGGAGCATCACCAGTTTAGATTTGAAAAGTCACACATCACCTAGGTCCGTCCAGCACAGCGCACCAGGCTCACAAAGCTCAGATCAAACTGTCAAACTAGGCAGAGCTGATCAAATATTAATCAAGATTCTGTTACTGCGTTGCCTATTTCCTCAAATGTCAAATGTCTGAAATGTTTTCAGGAACCCATTTTAGTGTTTAGCTTTAATTTGAGTTCCAATTGCGTCCAGAGACATTTTGGTCTGTGCCCGTGGATAATGCCCCTTGGAAATCGAAAAAGCGGGAAAACAATAATTGAATTACTATCACAATATTACCATAAACAAATGATGTGGGTTTAAATTAGATCGCTTTCTGCTTAACAGACCTTCAACAAAGCCATGTCACAAGTTTTTCTATGAGATTCAGACCTCAGATAGATAATAGCAACAGAGATGAAACAGTACCTGACTTCCTAAAATACTGTATCTAACTTATAAACATCATCACATAAACAGCATAATAAACAGACGGTTTTAAAGGATATCTGGCGTCCATGTTTGTCAATAGACAAGGGTTTTTGGTGGGGTGATGTGATGCGGTTCCGGTCCCGGTAGACTCTGTCCACCAAGCCGTGGTGTCGCGTTGATCTGTTTGTGTCAAGTCCTGAATTCTAACAATCGAAGACAGAAACAATTGGAATTAACTGATCAAACTGTGAAGTTTTTTCTCAAATCAGCCTGCAGAATTGGACCGTACTGATTATGCAAACAAAACTAAATCCTTTCTTAACCTTTCCTTGGCCCACAGAGAATAAACCTGTGTTCTGAGCTCCTGCATAAAATGAGTATGTATGTGCTGCATGTAGAACAGAGATGAATGTTAATGGGTCTCAGGGCAAAAATGATGAGAGTAAATTGTTAAGTTCCTGTGAAATTAAAAATGAGGATCTGGAATGTGCCCATTTTTTTCTGTTCCCACAATTTTTCTTGAGTAATATTTGCCTCGGCCATCATTCATCAGCAGATTCATGGGGGAAATGAGCCTTGACAGCAAAACACTAGTAGTGACCATCCTCCAAAATCAAAGAAGCACTTCCCCTACTTGAGTTTTGCTGGGTTGTCAATGGGAGGGCCTCGGTCAGCTTTAACTTTATATCTCTGTCCCCACAGAATCATATATTCCACACATGCAGGTCATTAAGATATACTGTATACATTTGTTTTTTTAAGGATGGCAATGGAAACTTACAGATATATAGGAGAAACCTTTTCTAGCCTCATGTGCTGCAGCGATAGATGCATTTCCAATTGGAGTAAAGTATGAGAAATTGCTTTACTCTGTGTTGAGCTTCAATACCTTAGGCTGCATAGCACAAGAGATTGTTCCCAGTGCATTTTGGATGTGAGAAAAAAGGGGCTGCTTTTCTTTCTCGTGTACACAGACAGCATTGCCATCACAAAAGTGGCAGCAAAAACCAATAAAAACTGTGGAAAATGAGTGTGGTTCCCAGCACTGGAAATTATGTGTGGGATGTGAGTCTACTGATTTAAAATTATACGCATTATTATCTCTCTTTTGTTTTTAGATACCTGTTTTTAAAAGTGGGCACTGCCACAATTTGGGTTTGGACATTACACTGAAAAAGTGTGGACATTATATAAATAATAACTTTATTTATAAATATTACAACAAGGATTATATTTTTAATATTGTAATTATTTTCATAACATTCATTATTATGTAATTCAATTCCCCCCCAAAACATTTCGAAAATTGCAATGTTAACTTGTCATTTTAGCTTCATAACATTATTATTTTAATCAACAAACACAAGCACAAAACTGTGGATCCTCCCACAGAAAATCCACTCTGTTTTTTGCATACTCTGTTTATTAAGTTCAAAGTTATGGTTGAATTCTTTTTCTCAAGACTTAGTTTGGACGCAGTATTTAGAAATGTGTTATTTTGGGACAGACCTACATAGCACTCTGTGGAGGACAGTGTGTTCCACCATACTATAGTAAAATACACCTAATGTAGACTGTGGGTCGGTATATTTACGCTCTTCTATTTTTTCTAAACGTGTAAAAGTGCTCTTGTTGCTTACGTAAAAGTAAGTGTGTTACTTCCTGTGTAGCAGAGCATTTATGCCAGCAAACACAGATCTGGTGGTGTTTGAAAAAGCAAATGTAAACATTTTTATAGAGCAGCCACAGGTTGAATCAATATTGCAGGATATTACTCAGCCACAGATGGGCACAAAAGATATTTATATACTGTATATGCAGCTGTGGATGATAACTGTAAAACAAATCCTGGTACAAATGTAATGTTCATTTGCCAAAATTCAACACAAATCTATTACTCTTCATCTATATTATATTTCAGTTGTTGCTGAAAATATAAATAATACCTCACCTGAAAAGGCATATCAACAGTGCTGCTTCCAATCTGATTTACATTTGGCAAAGATCCTCCATAGTACTGCCCACGGTTCTGTCCCAGCTGCAAATACTGAGTTTTCTGCAATTGTAACTGGAAGCAGAACAACACCAGGTAAGACAAGAGGTAATTATAGTTCTTTACAAAATAAATAAACATGGCTTTCTCAGTCATAGCAAATTCATGCTCCAGTGACAGCAAAACATTAAATTAGCTACAAACACACCACATGCCTACAACAACTAAAATTATTAATACAGCAGCTCAATGTAATTTCCTGCAGGGAAATGTTAAACAAAATACTGCAGAGGGGACATTTATACACCTTTCATTTTTCATTAACCACCTGTTTGAGGTGCCAGAATTAAGATAGACATGTGCTGATTTTTAGGGATGCACCAAATGTATGCAAAATAGCAAAAAAGAGCACTTTTAAATAAATTTTACGAACAATTACATTGACATGTCGGCAGTGTGGACGCATTTTAAAGTGTCCGAGAAAGACGCAAAAATCGCCGTTTGCAGACACTGTTCTGCTGAATTGTCTCCTAGCACATCCACTTCATCTGTGGCTGAAAAAGGCAAAAAACGGTCTTACCCGCTTTAAGTGTTCACTTGTTTGTGAGAAGACGATTAAGCTAGCCGCACCTAAATTTGGAGTGCACACATATTCAAGCCAAGCCTTTATGGTAAATCCACTGAAACGGACCAGTGCGAGCTGACAGGCGGGTTAGTGACTTTATTTGTCTTTATTTGCCAGTGTCTCTCTTTACAAAGTCAAATGTTGCAGTATGAGAGTCCTACCTGAAGAGAGGCTGTGTTCTTCATATTGCGCAATTGAGAACCACATACAACAGTATTTATCAAACTGGGTTGGAGTTGATGAATTTAGCTTGAGTGATGTCTATACAGTGTGAAAATAAGATTAACTGGATTATATTCACAGAAAGTATAAAACATATTACATGTGTACATTAAAAGTAAATGGACAGATGTAATTTACTTTACCGGACCCTCTCAGACCTCGGACCCACCCCCAATAGTTTTTCCAAATCCTATGGGAAACACTGAGTAAAAGCACATTTTGACTATTTAATTTATGCAATGGTAAAACAAAACAAAACAAAACAAAAAACAAATTGGCAAAATAAATGGAAAAATGTGAATGTAGCCTACTTGTTCGGGATTCGGCAAACATTTTCATTAAATTCGGTTTCAGACAAGAATTTTCATTTGGGTGCATCCCTACTGATTTTAACACTAAATGAGAAGGATACCACATTTATGTAACTTAGATAAACACAGATGTCTTCTGGCAAACTTTAATGCAGACTGTCGCATTTGCAGAACTCACCACAGCAGTGCAAAATAAATCTAATAACTTTTACATGAAAAGAGAGAACTTTAGGTGGAAACACTTCAGAGATAATTCAACATCGACTTTCAGAAAAGCAAACTCCCTAAAGCCTTATGACAGTGTTTATTTCAAAATGACCTCCAGTTCCATTTCCCATTAGAGAACCCATAACCAGTCAATTACATTTGTGTTGGCAGAGCAGAAAATCTAAGAATAACTACTACTCCGCCTGCATCACCGGAGTAGTTTGATAAGCCTCTGAGCTCAGAGTTTCATTCTTTAACTATATTTATACCTACTCTGTTGACAAAGGATTATGTATTGTAACATCTCTGGATCAGAAAGAGGCCAATCCAAATCTTTTCTAACCACAGGAACACAGGTACAGAGAGAGGGGGCACAGAGAGAGGCTGGGAGGGTGTGGGCAGGGTGAAATCTACCAAAAAAAAAGGCGCCACGGGCCTCCATTCATGATGAAAAATGGGCTCTCTGACTAACCTGTCTAGACCTGTATCCTAAAATACACAGTTCTAAAAACATGGTAAGTCTGACACAGCTGATTTATCTATTTGTTTATATGAATGAATTGTTTTAGTAGTCACTGTAGGACCCTGAATGGAATTCAGCCATCCTTCATGTTATTATTTAGGCTACTGTGCTTTTCCTGCTGTGACATGACAAAATGTCTTCTGTTGAAAATACCTATAAAGAAGAGTTGTTTATTTTTGCCTGTAGAATGACAGCAGTGACATACTCATTTTGCATAAATATTTTTTCCCCTACATGCACATTCCTCTTCTTTACATTTTCAGGTAAAGCACAAGCAATGCAGTGGCTCCATGTTTGCTGTGTTACAATCTGTCTACCCATCATGCTTCCCCTCAGCAACAGTCAGGGCTGAAGCCCTGCATGCATAGGATTTATCTCGGAGGCCCGTGTTGAATGTGGCTTAAATTCCACATAATCTGCTAGCATTCATCTTTGGTGTAAATGTCATTCATGTTGCAGAGCACACAGGCCTGAAGACCTGTCAGACAAGTTTACAAAGCCGCGTTACAAACACACCTCACCATGTATTCCTACCACACATACTACATACAATACTAATTATTAAGTATTTAAACAGATATATTTGTATTGTAGTGGGTAACATCGTTTTGTCAAATGGCCTTTTCTCTTAAGAGCATGAGACGAGGAGAAAATCGTCGCTGCACTTGGACGCGCGCTGTCAAATACGCATGCACGCCCCTTTGCTTTCCACTTGCGTGGGACAAAAATTGTAATAACTTTTTCGGACGAGGGTCCCCGTTGTCCAAAACAACATTACAGGACTGTTACACCCCAACACCTCTGCTCGTTGTCAGTCGTGGGAGAAAAACGCCTGGAGCTAGCAGGAAGCGTCGTTTGTTATTGTTTACCTATTCTGCCTGGCTGCGTGCAGCACCCGCGCTACAAATGCATATTTGACAGCTCGCTGAAAATACAAACGGAGAAGAGGTGACAAGAAGCGGCTTCGTTACCCTCGCTGCCCGGGTAATGCTGAGGTCCTTCATCACTTCTTCAAACGCTGCTGTCTCCTCTGCCTGCTTCTGGTTATGTAAAGCGATTTTCTCGCTGAATTTCCGCGGATTGTTCGAAGTCGCCATGTTTCGCTCTTCTGCTCCGTTTTTTCTTCAATAGCAAGTGTCAAGTGACACGGAATGAGAACACACAACTTCCGGTAAGAGGGGTTGAATTAAGTCCACAGAGTAAGTGCAATTTTGTCCTGAGATGTTTTTACCCACCAGGGAACAAAACAAAAGGCTCACAGAATCACAGCAGATAATCCGGTTGTTATGGCTAACAGTTGTTCAGCAGACAGTTCCCCATCCCAGGACCAACTCCTGACAAACATCTGTATCTTCATGTTGCTCATTGTGTCATTTTCTGTAGCAACCACTCATTAAATTTGGCTCTTTGCTGTTTCCCTGAGCTTGTTTGGTAGAAATGACTGAATACAGTTTTAAACATGTGATTTGTGAGAGTAATGAGACTTGGATAACTAAACCAAGAAACCTTTTTCACTGACCTGTCAAAGCAAGAAAAACAGGTGTAGCTAATGGCATAAATATCAGTGGCCCCATTCGATTATGTGTTCCAGTAAGCCTAACTCCAATGAGCGGGCGCACAGTACAGCTGATCCCTACCTCAATGGGTTGTAACCATAATTCATTGTTATTATTTATTGCGTGCAGCAACAGTTGTTTTCATTATCGATTCAGTTCGAGTATCGAGTTTTTTACTCAATCGATTAGGCTACTCTATTAAGCGTCAGAAACCCTAACACATGCCTTTTATTGCCAGAAGTCAAACTAAACTGAAGGCTAACAACTGCCGAATCAATTCATAATGTAGGCTAATGAAAAGGGCCAAAAGCAACCCTTCACATAAAGCTGTATTCAGCAAATGCAGGTATTGATAAAATATTGAAATACAAATTTATCCTTTGCCTGTTAATTGTGTTATTATTTAGTCAATGTAAAGCTGATTTAATTTATTTCGACATGTTGCGACAAGGCATACTTTTATTTTGAAACCAAAATCGCCTGGTTTCCGGTATCTGCACGGTTGTGTTTGGCTGACGCAGACCGCAGCGGTCTCACGTCGCCGCGCGGGGGTGTCCTGGAGGCGCACCGCACATCTGGACTGCGGTACAACAGTAAATTTCACTTAAAAAAAGAAAACACGTTTGTGCACGTCTCTTTTATATAATAAAATGACTTCACACACCAAGGCAGAATATAGGTATCATTATTGTTATTATTATGATTAGTAGTAGGCCTAGTAGTATTTCAATACAAGGCATGTTTATATTGGTTGTTGATTGTTGATCTTTGTTGTTGTATATTTTCATGTTGTCAGTTTATATATTTATATGTACACAATATTCTCATCCATTGCGTTACTTCTGCACGGCACAGACTCAGAATAATGCACATGTATATATCTGCAAGTTGTTCTTCAATTCCATATTTATATATTTCTACATTTATTTATATTGACTGTATGTTTGTCTAGGTGTAGCACCTTATCACCACAGCAAATTCCTCCTATGTGTAAAACACTACTTGGCAATAAAGCTCCTTCTGTTTCTGATTCTGATTCTGATGTTTAGGCACTGAGGTGATGCAGTGTGACAAGTGTGTTAGAGCAGGATTGTTAATGGTACCAGATATCTTTTTTACACGGGCGGGGGGTATAAATCTAAATTCAGCTTACTTGCCTTTTTATTTGTGGAAAATAATTTAGCTTCCTTCTCTGGGTTGGCCTAAAGGTTAATGACATGAAAACATGGGCCAGAAAGTGTCAGGGTCCGCCTCCTCCAGAACTGTATGTGCACTCCTGCTGACTGAGGATAGATACTGTCACAACATTTTCTCATCCTGCTTTCCAGCTGAGTAGATTCAAAAGGTGAACGGTGAATTATGTGATACATACATCAGGAGAAAAAGACATTTGCGTGTTCATTCTTGTTTCTTGACTGCAGTTGGAGTTCTCTGAAAACAGCTGCATGCACATGAGGCCTATGAGCTTTTATATATGATAGTGCTTAAGGCTCAGTAAAACACCACATTCAAATTCATAAAAAAACATAAAACAAGTCTAAATGCCACACCTACAACTATTGTTTCTTCTTTTTTTCTCTGGATGCACAGTGGAGCTGTGTCACCTGCCGTTCAGGAGAGTGTAATTTGGTAACCATGTAAAGTAACCATGGTAACATAGAGAAAGAAGGGACTCCGGGGCAGGTGGAGGGAAGGAGTCTGTGCACCGGATTATTCTGTTATTACTGAATAAGCCAAGAAGGGGGAAAGCCTTGAAGTTGAGCCTGTCCGTAGTGGCCTGTAAAAACGAGGAAACCGACATGTTGTGCAGGATTCCTGTGTTTAGCTGTCCTACGCCACATATTGTTAATGTTTATCTGCAAGCACTCTGCACTAACATTAGCAGCATAGCAAGCAGCAACATGTCAGAGGCTTGAGGTAGGAAGCAGCAGAGAGGGAACGTTTCACTTCACTTTATCAGTTAAACCTGAAAGTCTGACAGACCACTTTTGGTTCTTTCTTTTCTTTTTGCACCACTAAACCACGATTTTCAGCCACTTTCGTGTTCTACTGAAGGTTGTTGGAACAACACTGGATGTATGTGGTGTGGAGTGAAATACATGTGAACGCCAAAGACCAAATGTAGAAAGATTGTTGCTGAGGCCTTTCTTCTTCATCTGATCAGTATGAGCCCATAATGTTACCATTTCCATTTTAATAAGTGGTTATTTTACTATTTTTGAAAACCCTGGTGCATGCTTTTCTCCTGAACATAGCAGCATTTTTGTGTCATCAACAATAGCTGACCTTGTTCTCTCTCCCAAATCATAATGTTAACCAGTGGTGGAATGTAACTAAGCACATTTACTCAAGTACGGTACTATAAAGTACTAATTTCAGGTACTTGTATGTTACTTGAATATTTCTATTTTCTGTTATTTAATAATTTTACTCCACTACATCTCATAGGCAAATATTGTACTTTCTACTCCACTGCATTTGTCCGACAGCTTTAATTACTAATTACTTTAAAATTACACTTTTTCATAGCTTTCCTGTCCAGTGAAAACCATGTTGATTTTGAATTAGAATTTTTCTGATAAACTGAAGGATGAAGTGTTCCTTGAGAAAATTATCTACATCTTAATCTAAACAAACTATTAGATGTCTCCAGAAATTAAGCGTTTAATGCAAAAAATCTTCTGGTGGAGGACCCCCCCACCCCACCCCTTATCAACTATTTTATCTATAAATATTTTTTCCAAATAGTAGGTCTATTACAATATATTCTTGTCTTGTAGTCATGCACACCAATCTTGTGAAAATATTACGTCTCAGTGTTTCATCACACCCCTAATCTGACCCCCTAAATGTATCAGTGGTGTATTGGTGAGGGGTGTCCGACTGATTTTGGTGGGCCGCCTCGGCCAAAAATGCCAAGGTCGATTTTTTGTCCCAGTCCAGCCCTGGCCTACAGCATAGAGTAGCATGATATGAGGGATCAGTAAGGAGTTGAGGTGACAGATGGACCCTGTAATGCCTGCAAATCTATCAAGCTACATTAATACCAGTAAGTGGTGCGAGAGACTGTTTCAACACAATCGAAAATTGAAAACACTCACACCACCTGACACCCTCACATGGTAGTTTTGTTAACCAGCAACAACAAAAAATTGAGACAGTGATGCTTCAAATCACCAGTGCAACCATAGACTTACAAAATAATCATCAGTTTAAATACTTTATCAGCTGCTTTTCTTCAAACCCTGCAGAACATAGCATATGTGGTGGGAATTGTTACCTTACCCTACAGTCTCAAGGTAGTGTAACAGTATTGCTTGGTGTATGCATGTGGGGAGTGACAGTAACAGCAGGGGGAGGTAAAAGTCTTGAGCTAGATCACCAGTAAGTCTAGTTCCGCTCCTATTCATGTCTGTGTTGGTAAGGGTAGGGTCATGTTTTGGTTAAAGAATATGAGTCAATGTTATGTCCTTGAAAGTGATGGAAACATGACTGTGTGTGTGTTTGTGTGTGTTATCAACCTCTAATCTCCACCTCTAAACATACTATCACCCTTCAGCAAGACGCTTTGACAAATTTGAGACCTTTCGACCAGGGAAAGCAGAACCTACTTATTTCACCCAAATGTTTTTCCTCCTCACAATCAATTATTGAATTATAGACAATGTCCAATCAAGCAACCTTCACAAATTCTGTACACAGATTGGAAACTTGTCCAGTGAGTCATAAAGTTTAATACAACAATAATTCAGCTCCTGTCAGCAGCTGTCTATTTTCAGAAATAGCTTTTTACAGGAAATCTTCTTGGTTTCAGCCCTTTCATTGCCCAGTTCCATGATTTCAGCAAAAAGGGAACCGTTGCAAGTGTGCAGTGTTAAAGATAAACTACAGACTGACTTCACTCACGACTCAGACCTTGACCCACATCGCCAGAGCCTTGTTTGGTAAGATAGCTGTTTTTATTGACCTACACTTTTACGGAAAGCTGTTTGCCTTGGCTTTCATGATTTGTTTTACAGCATTTCCTAGAATGTGAGATGTGAATTTTTATACTTTTTGTATATAGACAAAACCGTTTTATTGAATTCTTTTAAAATTCTTGTCCATTGTTTTTTAATAAGGCTTTATTACAAACTGACAACTGTTCATGAAGTGAATGGGATGTTTTATTTATGTAGAGGCCCTTTGAATAAGGTTAAGCAATAATAAATTACCTTTTAACCTTTAAAACTGTGTCTTTCATACTTGCAGATCATGGTCAATAATACTTGTGTCTCTGGAAATGACACCGCCACATGTTCTGGCCGCAGCTCTCCTGCAGGTCTGATCTGGGGGCTGACGCTCTTCTTTCTCCTGCTTGTGATCACAGCTGGTGTAATCATGTACAAATATCAAGGTAAAATCAGGAATATGTTGCATTTTGGACATACAAGAAGCCAGAAGAAGGAGGACTTTACAGAGACAACACAAGCTGATTCCCACCAGTATGACCGTATGATGATAGAACAGTCAACAGCGCAGAGCCCTATTTATGAAAACCTGACAACTCAAACTACTGGATACAACAGGCGCTCAGTAAACCAGAGCAGGTGAGCTATACTTGTAGTCATACTTTCTTAGCCTGTTTCATCTTTTTAGACCAATTTAAAATATATTTTGAGTATGAAATGTCATTTATGAAACTGCAGTGGCCCAAAAACAGAACAGAACGGAAACAGATGAAGAAACACCGTGTGTGCGGTGTGAATTTCCCCATTTTACACAATCCTGCTGTATTATATGCACACAATTTGCCATCTGTTGGAGATCTCTTCCTCTTTTGTTTCCTACAATTTAAAGTCTATTAATCAAATGTGCCAACTAATGACTCAGTGCTGGAGTTTTTTCCTGGTCAAGAATAGAAACTGGGAAAAGGAAAGCCACACAGTGTACAAAATATTTGTCTTGTGTCACAATGGTTTTACATCAGAAACATGCTTTCTGAACATTATCCGCATCACTTATTGTTTCTCCACAGGACATCCAGTCAACCTGAAGAGGATTTGTACTTGCAGTGTGATTTGCCAGATGATGCAATATACAGCAATGATCCGGCGTGCAACCTCTCCATCCTCCCAGACTCACAAGAAGAAGACGTGTATATTGTACCAGACTCATGATTGGACACATCTCTATTCATGTCTGCATATTTTTACTCCGTTTACTGTACTGATTATGGTAAAATGTACAAATATACTGCTGCTTTATGGTACTGCTGACCTGTAAACAACAACACATACGTATTATCTATACATGCGGTATATTTCATAGATATATTTTATTAGTGTACACGTCTTTGGTTATTACTGTTTTTCTCACAGATCCTTTAATATCATATTGGACGTGCTGCACAAATTACAACATTCTGACAACAATCCAAGGTAATCCTTTCATGATAATATCTGATTGTTTTTGGGCTTTCTCTTGATTTGTCTGGTGTTGGAATTACTGATGAATCACTTCATTTTGACCTTTAGAGAGGAGAAGTGTGAGCGATTTACTCACTCTTATGTGGTAAAGTCATGCATGTATTTTGCTGTCCTCTTTTGTGTCAGCAGTTTTGCGTTTGGCTCTCCATTAGATTTAAAATCATTTCAGCAGCCGAGAAAATTAGTGTATAAGTTTTGTTATTTCTTTTGAATAAATAATTCCACAAAAACATATTGCTTTTTTTTTTAATAAACTGAAAAACCAGGAAGGGGTATGTGGATTTGAAAATTTGCCTAAGTATGTGGATGTGTGTACTTGCACTGAAAAAAATCATAGACCCATTTAGTTATGTCAGCTTACTTCTTCTTTTTAACTCAAATAGCTCTGACAAGTTTTGGATTTTGAACTCAACTGTATGAGTTTTAGAAAGTTAAACTTGCATTAATTCATTGTGTTGACTATTTGACACTTTTGTCGTGTTGATTAAACTTACGTATGTAAGTTATCAGTTGAAAAAAAGGCAAGAGTACAAGGATTGCCTAGGAGCTGTGTCTTTTGAGTTTGAGAAAAACATATACATAATCAACTAATTATTAGGGTTTAGCAAGTACTCGGTTGAAACGAGTATCCGGTACAGATACTTTTCATGAGTATCATCAGAGTAAAATGTGTCAATATCTGTTTTGTTATAAACTATAAATATATGAATATAAAAAAATCAAATACTATTCTCTCAATTCTGAGGCTGTTCTGTAAATGGTTTTCTAATAAAAAGTTCTGATAGAAATTTCAGGTTTAAATAACTTCCAGTTAATACCACCCACTTATAGATTAAGCCCCGCCCATTCTGAGCACAGATACAGAAGATTTGGTGTTCTTGCTCACCCCTGCTAATTATACACTGCAGATAAGTCATATATTCAAATTCCAACCAAAATATATACACTTTTGTGGTAAACAAGACTAGTGCCACTGGTGGAAAGGGTTCCAGACAACAGCCTTTCAGAAAGGAGGTGACATCTGCTGCTATTTTGAACTTTGACTGCGACGTGCACAGGTGCACCAGCAAACTTCCCTGCCCTGTCACAAGTCATTGAAGATAATAGCACAGTGGTGCTGTTGTTGTGGTCTGTCTTCTAAATGTAAATGTAGGCCCTATAAATGTAAATGCTCTGTACTTGTATAGCGCCTTTCTAGTCTTTTTGACCACTCAAAGCGCTTTTACAATACATCTGCATTCACCAGTCATACACTGAGCCTAATTGCTCAAATGGAAACTAGCATTCACACACATTGATTCATACACTGGCAGAACAGCCGCCAGGGGCAAATCGGGGTTCAGTATCTTGCCCAAGGTTCAGTATCTTGCCCAAGGACACTTCGACACGCAACCAGGGGGAGCCAGGGATCGAACCGCCGACCTTCCGATTAACGGCCAACCCGCTCTACCTCCTGAGCCACAGCCGCCCCAGCCGCTGTAGATGTACACTTAATTTGGAATTTAAATCCCTTAACTTGAAATGGAAAGTAGTGTTAAGTTAGAATAACTCACACTTGTTCATTTAAATAACATTGGGACAACTAGAACACTGTAGTTATATCCACTTTATGAACTTAAATTTATGAGTTGAAACAAAGGCAATCTTCAAGTTGAGTTATCTGAACTTAAAAATGTGAGTTGAAAGGGTGTAGAATTGTATGTTTGTTAGACAAGTGAAAGCAAGTTTCCTTGGATGGAAAATGTAATATAGATAGTTGATTTAACTCACAGTATTAAGTTCAAACAATAAATTATCTTTAATTAAACAAATTGTATAACGTAACATCATGAGTTGAAACAAAGCTTTTCTTAAAGTTGAGTTTACTCACATTTTTAAGGCAGCAATTGAACTTAAGTTTTTAAGTTGAACCACCTAGATAATTTTTACAGTGTGTGTACGTGTGTGGTTATGGAATTCATTATGTTTTATAGAATAGTAATGGTTATAAAGCTGCAAATTTATATATGTTCTTTATGTGATCAAAACATTTTGCTTTTACATTATGCTCTGTTAGGTCACTATAAAAAATCTATAAATTATTATTACCATTCACAATTTTAAAAATGCAAATGTGTTAAAATTGCAGATTAATTTCAAATGTAATTTAACAATACGTTTCTGAAGATGAAAGACAAAGAACACAATATTAAGGAATAAAAGCACAACATCTTAACTGTTACAATATAAATTATCTCTAAGAACATTTTGCAGTTGCATTTTAATTTGAACTATCATGTTCACTTAATGTTTTTTAGCTAATCGCCACTGTTCTGCGTGTCTTTACTTGCTCTCTATCCATAAAATACTGTAAATGCAGACAAGAATTCACCTTTTTATGTGCGAAAAACCATTGCAAAACAAGGCACAAAAATATCATCAAGACTTGCAAAACATGCAATGGTCAGCACCATTTTATGTGTTTTGTGGTCTGTCAGTTTTTCAGAAGAGACACAAAGAGGATGTGTTTATTTTCTGACCATATAGCATCGCTGAACTCCAGATTTTCTGTCTTATTGTCCCCTAAAAGCTCTTTAACAGAGAGAGAGTAAGAGATAAAGCTTTGTCCAAAAGTTACAGAATAAGAGGTGTGATTTGAGCTTCTATGGACTGGTGATGACTGGAGATGATGCTTTTTTCTTTTTTTTTTCCAGGAAGGCTACATGAGGATTAAAACCAAATACTAGAGGCTAATGAGTTCATGCTGTCTTAGATTACACACAGTAGGGCTTGATAAATACTGTCCCTAATTCTTTTATACTTGTATACTTTGGGTGGTACTGACCTTTCAGAATCTAAGATTGAAGACCTTTACGTCCACCCACAGTTGAGTAATAACTGAGGATGTCATCCCTGAAACAAATAGTAACAGGATAAAAACAAAGAAATGAATGAGCAGTTACTGGGCACAGGTCTAAACCTACCAATAGGAAAGTGTAATTACAGTTAGCATTTGTGTCTGCAGCTCTGACAAATCACCTATTTATTCATCTACTTATTGATTCAGTCAACCAGGGTCACCCAATATGCCCCACCCTTTTAATACATCTACTTTATTAATTGTAAAACAACATATGCTCATATTTAAGTGACCTTTACACATACAAAAGATAAAAACTGTTAAATACTCATCAGGGGTGGTGGTGTCACTTTGTAGAATAATTTAACTATAAACATTTCAGAGGAGCTTGCTGCCAATTTCAGTTCACTCACTATCACACTCATCACCTTATTACTTTTGAACTCCAAAACCTCGAGCTTTGGCTTCTTATGAGCTCCTTTTATACTGTTAATTATTTTTTCTTGTCTCAGCGTTCACACTTATCGTGAGATATCTCACATGATTGTTTGTTCCTTTTTCTAATAACTTATCTCAACAGCACTTAAAAGCATACATTACAACAACAAGCTGTGATAATCTGTAATGAAAATGCATTTACAGTATCATCATAGATATGTAATCTAAACAGTCTGGAGTTTACACAGCAAGCCATTAAATCTGTGGAGCCCCCCCCCCGTTTTGCAAATTTTCCCAGTCAAATTAAACTAATGATTTAGTTAATTTTGTTCTTTAACCAGCTGGTCAAGGCCACAGTGAACTTCTACAGTAGTTGATAGTATTTCTGTGAATAAATGACAAATGTGAGAAAATATGCTCATGTGTTTATTATGAAATGTACATGCTGATATATTCAGGTGGAACAATTCAGTGCGAATAAATCAGAACATTTATGTTTGGTCTTTGTATAATTATTGAAATGTATATTACAACAAACTCAATATCTAAACCAGGTGCTTCATAAAACAATACAGTACTTTAAATAATAAACAGTAATAAAATTAAATATTATGTAGTACTTAAATATTCTGTAACATAAAGCAATAACACAACACAAATATATGTTTAGGACCATAAATAGAAATTAAAATAAATAGTTTTTTACCATGTAACATATTCTTCTAGGTGCAATGCTCTCCCAAAAGGATAGGTTTAAAGTTTAATTTTTTCTTCAGGCACAGTGACATTTACTGACAATCAAGTCATTGAAAGGAGTTAGCTTCAACCTCCCCCTACTGTCATAGTGCATGAGGACCATGGGTTCGTAGGCCGCCGGCACGCAGCAGGGGGGAGGGGTCCCTCCTTTGCTAATCTGCTGCAACCGAGACTTCACCTGTGTGTGCATGCTTGCAGGCTTGTAGTTGTGGGGGCAGGTGCCGTCACAGAAATGCATTGTGTACTCAGTTGGGGCCACCACCCAGTCCGTCCAGCCGATGTCTTTGAAGGACACGGTGATGGACTTCTGGCAGCACCATCCTCGTTCATCACATTCGTCTTCCTTGTTGGAGCGAGGCAGCCTAGTCTTCCGGGCTGGTTTGGGCTGTGGGAGGCCTATTTCTAGAGAAACAGTAGGATTTACCATAAGGGCATCTTTTTCACCCACAACTATCCCTACATCCACAACCAGCGCCTGACCGCTGTCAGTCCTCATCCACTTCTCTACCTCATGGCTGATGTCAAGGATCACATCTTGAGTGCTTGACATATTTGCATGGACTGTTGAGTCAATGTGTGTCCATGCAGAAGAGTTCATCGGCTTCCTCCTGTTTACTTTAACTTTAACCTGTTGTCTTACCTCAGGCTGAACTGAAGTGGATTTGTTTAAAACCTGCCTGGAAATTTTCAGCTCAGCTCGAACTGATGTCAGTTCAGTCTGGATATTGGGGTTCTTGTGGAAAACAGCTCTATACCACTGCATACGTTGACCTGACTGCAGATGTTCCACTCTCCGAAGCACTTCTAGTGGCTCCACTAAAAAAGCACAAAAACAAAGAAAATCTTTATAAGAGCCAAAGTTGGCAACGTCCTGTAATGATTTAACAAAGTACATTCAGGAAACATCATGACACAACTCAACTGGGAGCCTAAAAAAAAGGAGACACAAACATATTTTTAAAATCATATACTTTTATTTGGAATGTCAATGCTCTCTTTTCTTTGATGACGTTATTGAATGTTCAAGGTGTGCCTGTCACGCTCGTGATCTCTAAAAGCTTGTAGGAATGTGCTTGTTTGCTGACAGCACTGTTTGATGGCTGCAGATTCTGTTTCCAACCACTGAAATATGTTTAAGCTCTGCACAGATAAATTCTGAGAGTCAGACATCTTTACCTGGAGCATGAACTGTAGGGACATAAGTTATTTATAGTATTCACAACCACAATGGCACAATAGCTTTTGTCTGGAGAGGTAAACTCACACTGCAAGATTTCTTGAACTAGCCAAGAAACGTTCTTTCCAACTCCTGCTCACACTCTCCAACTTTCACGCCGGTCGTTTAATTGTGACAATGGCTAAATTAGGCCAAAATGTCCTCCTGACATCTCCCTAACTAACAAATAGCTCACCTGTAGCTGGAAAGAGCACGGTAGACATGATGGATTGCCAGGTTTCTGTCACTGTCTGGCTGGAGTTTCCTCTTATCTCTCTCTGTTTTTCCCTGTACAGCTGATACATTTTCCTCAGCTCTTCCTCTGAGGCCTTTTGGGTTGGCCTGGGCCTCCTGTCCATACCCAGCGAGCTGAGGATCCCTGTCTTCACCGCCTCCAGAAGCAGGACCCTCTGGCTGTCCGTTCTATCAGGCGTGCCTTCGTGGGCCACTTGAGGCCGGCTCTCCCCCGAGCTGGAGAAGGAGATGAGAAGCAGCAGCGTGCAGGAGAGTGACCTTAACATGGTGAGCCTGTGTGAGTCTGAGTGCTGCAGCTCAGTGGATGGGGTTTGTCCATGTCATGAATGAAATTCTTGACATGCTTTTTATTTATAGAGCTTCTGTGTTGCCACACCCCTGGTTAGTCAGGTGAGCCTGTGATGGGCTCAGCTAGGGCCATTTTGCAGCATTGTGTTATATGTTAACAACATGTGACCTATCGAATCAGAAGTGTGTGATACTTGTTTGAATATTTACAGCTTTTGTTCAGTTTTGTTAGCATACAGTGGGAAGTTTGGTTGAGATTTGGTTACTTTACGAGTACATGGTGTGCGCCTCAGCTTGATTGTCCAGTTATGCGTCACTTAATCAAATAAATGACCATATGTCTTACAGTGACCAGTTCTAAGGATGGGGGCAATGGGCGATTACATTATTTCCTCCAGGGTTAATAATGATAATGTGTTTATTGAACTCTCCCTCGCTCTAGAAAAGGGTGGAGAGAGTAAATTATCTGTATGGCACCCGTCCTTAAACAAGCCCAAAGAGGAAATGGCTCAATGTTAAAAAGAGATAAACATACACAGAATTTTTATCAAGAAAGGGAAGTGTCTTGTAACAGTTATCTGTTTATTATCACAGAAATGTATTTATCACACAAAATATGTAAGGAGCTCGTCAAAGATCAAACATAGCACTCTGTGAAAGTGCTCTATTTTATGATGATTAAAAAGGACTGAAAACATATCGGATGTCAGCTACCCCTGTCCTCTACAGTTGGATGAAGAGGAACAATTCTGCTCTTTCAGTTGTAATTGTTCGGACAGACTAAAGCGCTAAACACAGGCACTGTGGAGTGCTGCCAACAGTTATACTAGCATATTATGTGAAAATCATCACTTCTATCAGTAAGTAGGGTCAGTGCTCTGCTTGATTACAAAGTAGTTTCCCCACCCTATTACGTGGCCGTCTGGGTCATTGACCCTATCTTTCCAACCGAGGGCATTCCTGACTGCCGCAATTACTGACTGATAAAGGTTTGCATTAACGGGAAATCTCCATAAAAGTGCATTTATGGACATTTTTGCCAAATTGTAAGCTTGGAAGTGTAACATCACTTTCAGTGACTGGATAGTAAATTGTTAAACAATGAGAGGATTCGTGGGAATTTAATTAAATGCTCACATGCACATTAAAATAAACTAATAAAACAATAAACATTTTTACCACAGAACCATAAAATCATCTATGTGAATGCTAATTAAATTTGAATGACAATTCACAATAAATGTGTAAATGTAATTCAAAGGTCTTGCAATACAGTTTAGTAATATAATTTTTGCTCATTTCAAAATAAGTGAGCAACAATTATATTAATAACTTAAAATGAACAAAAAGGGAACATTACTTTTTGTTTGGACGTCTCGCAGGTCACATACATGTGCAATTTGTGATGAGGGGTTGAATGTAGCCATTGCAAGTCTGTAAATGGTCAGGAGCCAAAAACGTTGGGAACCACAGCAGTAGAAAGCCCTGCACCTGCCATAACATCAAGAATAATTTTCTAATTTAAAGCCTAAGAGACTATGTTTGAACATGTGAAAAAGTTAGTGCCCAAATATCAAAGTGTCAGAGCTTCTTTGACAGTGTCAATTTCTGAGCTGTGAGTCACTGAGGTGATGAAACGATCATGTGCCTTACCAGGTGAGCCTACTTTGCAAGTTGAAAGTGTGTGAATGGTGTAAAGTGACTCAGGCAAACCAGCACTGTTGTTTTAACTGTCAGAGAAAGACTCTCACACTCTTCTCTGGCTATTTCTTCATCTTGTTCATCTGGTTTGTTGTGCGACTTGTTTTGTCATCATGAGAAGGAGATGTTTCTGTGTTAAGGGAGTGAATTTCATCATACAAACTGTCAACACACAGTGAGGCTGGCTGATATACACTTCAAATCACATGATGACAGATGAAAATGACAGCACACTGTACATTTTACGTGGAATTGTTCAACCGTGAGGTCAAGAGATGAATTTAAGAGGCCACCAGATGATAGCATGGTAAACAATAAAAAAAACTGTATTAGGTACACCTTGTTAGTACTGGTTTGGACCCCCTTTTGCTTTCAGAACTGCCTTAATTCTTCGTGGTATACTTTCTACAAGGTGTACAAAACATTCCTCAGAGACTTTGGACCATATTGCCATGATAGCATCACGCAGTTGCTGCAAGTTTGTCGGCTGCACGTCCATGATGCGAATCTCCCGTTCCGCCACATCCCAAAGGTGCTCTATTGGACTGAGATCTGGTGACTGTGGAGGCCATTGCAGTGCGGTGAATTCATTGTAATATTTAAGAAACCAATTTGAGATGAATTGAGCTTTGTGACATGGTGCATTATCCTGCTGGAAGTAGCCATCAGAAGATGGTTTCGTTGTGGTCATAAAGGGATGGACATGGTCAGCAACAATACTCACGTAGGCTATCGCTTTTAAACGATGCTCAATTGGTACAAAGTGGCCCAAAGTGTGCCAAGAAAATATCCCCCCACACCATTACACCACCAGCCTGAATTGTTGATACAAGGCAGGATGGTAATGGCTGAGTGCAGTGTCAGGTTGTGTGGATCCAAAATGCAGACACTGGCAATGAGGATGCGGTTAAAAAAAGACTTAATTAAATCAACAAAACAGGTTTACGTTGGAGCTGAAGGCAAAGTCCAAACAGAGGTAAATCTAACAAGCATATATAATCCAGAGCACAGGCAGAGTAATCCAATGTACAGCGGCAGGACAGAACACTCAACATAGACAAACAAACCCAAAACCAAACCCATGAAAACAGACTAACAGGAAAATCATGAACACAACCCAAAATCCTAACAGGATCCATGCTTTCATGTTGTGTATGCCAAATTCTGACCCTAACATCTGAATGTCGCAGCTGAAATCAAGACTCATCAGACCAGGCAACGTTTTTCCAGTCTTCTATTGTCCCAATTTGGTGAGCCTGTGTGAATTGTAGCCTCAGTTTCCTGTTCTTAGCTGACAAGAGTGGCACCCAGTGTGGTCTTCTGCTGCTGTAGCCCATCTGCTTCAAGGTTCCACATGTTGTGCATTCAGAGATGGTATTCTGCATACCTTGGTTATTTGAGTTACTGTTGCCTTTCTGTCACTGTATATTTTCTCTTTTTTGGACCATTCTCTGTAAACCCTGGAGATGATTGTGTGTGAAAATCCCAGTAGACCAGCAGTTTCTGAAATTCTCAGACCAACCCGTCTGGCACCAACAACCATAAATCTCCTTTCCTCCCCATTCTGATGCTCAGTTTGAACTTCAGCAAATTGTCTTGACCACGTCTGCAAACCTTAATGCATTGAGTTGCTGCCATGTAATCACATGGCAGCAACTCAATGCAATGCTGATTAGCTATTTGTGTTGACAAACAATTTAACAGGTGTACCCAATAAAGTGGCCGGTGAGTGTGTATATATATACTACCAAGAAATGTACCTAGAAAACTTGGAAGAGGCTGTGTTTTGAAGGCAAAGGGTGGTCACACAAAATATTTATTTGATTTAGATTTTTCTTCTGTTCACTCACTTTGCATTTTGTTAACTGCTAAATACATGGTAATATCTTTTTTAAGCATTCTCAGTTCACAACATTTTTTCCACACCTAAACTCTTGCACAGTATTGTATATAATGTTTTTCTCCTCTTTGCTCTTTCTTGTATAGGCCTCTAAAAACGATTTACCTTTGGTTCTACTGCATTCAGAGTGGCAGGGGTCTGAATTATTCCCAGAATCCACTTGGCAGAGAACAGGATAACATGTCATCTACATCAAACATAAAAACACATAGCTCCGTGGCGCCCTCTGGTGGCACTAAAGCCACAGTACAGCCTTTATTTGCAGCTAAATGCAGCTTTAATTGAAGTTGTGTGTGTGTGTGTGAACATTTCAAAGACAGAATTTCTGAGAGAATGACAATTTTCTTTTCCAGATGTGAAAAATGCCACTTGATAAGAAGGCAGTTCATTTATTTGATGCTTTTGGTTGGTTGTTTCATTGATTCCCATCTTGTTCAAGCAGTTTAAGTACAAATGACCAGAAGAAACATGTAGTATTATATTTGTTTCATTGTTTTCTTAATTTCCTTTTTTTTTCTTGTGTGCTTTTATAGATACAAGCTTCATGAACATAATAGAGCCAATCACTGATTTGAAGCTACTCAGGAATATACAGTATATAAGACCGATTTGTTTATTTTTAGTTTCTCAAATGTTTTCATTTTAGCGTGTATTTGTTTTGTGTTTTATTGTCTTTGCACTTGTTAAAGCACTTTGTAACTTATTGAATTATTTGGCTAGGTACAAGGCATGGCTTGGTGGTAACAGGGGACATGAGCTGAGGATAGCAGTGCTTTCAAGTCAGCCGGACTCACAGAATAAATCTCCAAATCCTGAGTGGCTGAACTGGAAACTGTCAAGACTTGCTTTTACCTTTCAGTCTGGCAATGTAATGAAAAGGTATAGGCCTAAGTGAGGTTAAGATCGGAGAAGCAGCAGAAGAAGGAACACTAATCACTGTAAACAAAAAAAAAAGATAAGAAAGAAAATGAGGGCAATAAAAGGAGGAAGAGCTGACTTTCATGCCTGACTGGTCCCACTAATGGGCATGGACTATTTGAAGATGACCTGCCCTGGATCACATGGAGAGCACAACAAAAGGACACAGACTTCCCAGTCTGTCCATTTGTAGCTCTAAACTCCATCATCAGTCAAGTGAAGAACAAAATCTAGATATTTTTACACACGGATATTTCATTTAAAGAATTTTGTCTCACTTTGAGTCAATAAGCTACAGCAGCAGTTAGTTATGGTACAGTAGAACCCAAGCATTTTCCTTGTCGCGTGGGTTGAACACGTCCTTGCAAAATCTCTTCCTTGTAAAGAATGATTACCACCATGTTGTTGTCAAATACCACATGATACATTTGATCACAGTTGGGTGTGCGGGGCTTAACTCTTGATTTGCAACATCCACTTAAAGTTGCTTCAAACAATCAGCAAACTTCACAGGAGAACAATGATTCACGCCTCTGTGGCTTACATACATGGACATGTGACATCACAGGACAAGAGACTCGCCATTGTTTTATATGGAAATAACCCATCATGGTACCACTGGGTGACAGACACAGATCAATCACGGCTATTCAGCGTTGACTCCAAAGCACAATTGTTCTGCATCCTCTCTGATGAGGTTTTATTCCACTAGACAGCGACACCATGTTATATGACATGGTGGGTGAATAGATTAACTGCATCTGACTAGTGTTCAGATAAACACCCTGCATGTACCACAACAAGTGGATTGCATGTGTTTGTATTGATGACTCAGTGGTTTATTCCATTACAGTTGCAGCTTATTGCTAAATAACGCAATAGGCTATCATGGGGACTACATTGTTAAGAAGATCCTAGAGACCGAGGTCAAAATGGGGACCAGGGGATCCTTGATAGCCTAGGCTACTCCATGACTTGAAAAAGCTCTTAACACAGTAAAACCAGTATTTTGCATTTGACAGGTGATCGCAGAATATAAGGGTAGGCTAATAAGAGCGTGGAACACGCCTTCTCACTTTATTAGGCTACTAAAGTTTAGCTTAACTAACAACAACACCCACGCATCTCCTTCCACCCCCGATCAGTTGATCAGCTGGCCACCTTTTCGGGGAGGAGGTGGTGGTAGTGAAGCAGCAGCAGCAGCGAGAAGGACTCTATCCGTGCTCCCGGGGAGAAGACGGACCGCAGTATGGGTTGACTGAGCGGGGATATGCATTGGGGTTTCTATTGTCTTCAATGATGGACGAGCCGAACATCCTGAGACGCCGCGGTCTTCAGGTAGGCTAAATGGAAACTGTCATGACAGCACGCGAATGTGGTTGTTTCCAGGCAGACGGGATGATATGATGATGTTGATGATGATGAGGAGACA